ACAATGGCTTTGTGTTGATGAAAAAAATTACTTGTTTTAACTACTTAAAAAGTCTAATAATCTGAAGCCATCAATATTTACTTTGTTGAAATCGTTTAATTTAAATTTGTGTTATGTTTGCCTATATTGGCTCCTGCATGTTTGATGGTGTAACTAAAACTGGCTCTAATAATTTCACATTTCCCTGTTATCTTTGAATCCGAATTATTTATTCAATTAGGATTTTTTTTTGTATACCCAAGGAGCAGATGCTTTGTCCTTGTAAATGTTGCGTGGGTCTGGGAAACGGAATAGTTTTTTTTAAATTTGTTCTACGATTAATTTATATATGTACCAATTTATTATACATATCTTTTCAATATAAGAAGTGATAATCATAGATGACAGTAACTGAAATGGGGTTACTGTCAGCTGTCATTATCCTTGTATGTCACAGAGCTTATTAATTAACAACGTCAAAGTCAAATCAGTTCAAAAACGTTAATACAAGTGGTTTATTTTATTCGCCATTATTGCTAAATCTATAAGTTGCGTCAAGATTTTGTTCTACAAACAGGTGTCGCACGATTTCGTAAGACACAATAAAGTATGATTATTTAATCACGCGGCAAGTTTTAATTAGTACTTGTAACACAATCAAATGTATACATTTTATAAGTTATACCTCAAACTCTAGCACCAAATAAGACACCACGGGTCTTTCGTGGTGTCGTGTTGTCAAAATATTTCAATTGACAACAGTTGAGTCGACAGTCTTCCCTCAAATTACATCGGGAAATTTATGAATAAATGCTCGTGTATTTCGTAGAATGCTGGAGCTGAATTTTTTGCCCTTACAACTAGTTGTTATTGCTTTCAGTTGTATTTCCTTGTAAACAACGGGTCAGTAAGGTCGAACAAACAAATGTTTTTGCTGGGTTTAAATGACGCATTGTTTTCGAAGACAATCACTAATGAGTTCCTATGCGCGCTTTATTACTTAAATAATCAATATTGCTGCTTAACAGAAGGTTAATTCCATGAAGTATATATTAGTTTCATATTCACTGTTTCGTAGGTGTCCTTGGTTCTGTTTAGTTAAAACATAACGATACTACCTAGGGATGAAAGAATTCTAATGGTGAATTTTTTTAATGGTTCGAATAGTTTGACTTTATTCGTTATAATCATACAAAAATATAGATCTTTCCTCTTTATTATATTAGTATTTAATTGTCTTTGGTATAGACTAAGCGTAGCATGTTCAAAGTTCATCTCCAAACTATTTTACTTCTTTAAGTCCATGCAAAGTTTTCAGTTGTTTTTGGGTGATCCTTGCCACACTTTAAACTATTATTACCTTTCGTTAGTATATTTATAAATGCCATATATACTCTTTGAATGATACGATAAGGAAATAATGGTAATGACTCACATGTTTGACGTATCTCATTAGGTAAAATTCTCAAATCTTTAAAGAGCAAAAACCGCCTATAAGGTAATTAACACTAGCCAGAAAGATAATTTTTCATAAATGTAAATTCAAATTTATAACAGAAACAACAAGGAATTTTTTGTGTATAAAAATCGTGTTATAAGAAAATTCGAAGTCACGTTATTATGTTAATCTTGCTTAACTAAAGTTTTTCTTAGTCATTACAATTTTTCTGTAATATAAAGTAATCTGTAATATAAAGTAGCGAATTACCTGCTTATGAAACATATTAAGCCGATATTTGGAGGATCAAACAATTGACTGTCTCTCAGAGTATAATAGGCTGTGGGTGTGAGTTGTGTTGTAGTGTGATTTTTCGTAATCAATATTTTTAGTTAGTTTGGTGGTATTTGAGGTCGCTGCAGTGCTAAACTACCTTTATTGTCAGGTTAACACTCTTATGATATAATAGTTTGTCAGTAAATGTGTATTATGTATGTATGACAGTAACAAGTAATGTGAAAAATTCTTATTATCAAGAACGAATGTTATTATTACTAAGCAAATAAGATGTTGGTTTTTTTTTTGTCAATAAATAACGTAAAAAATTTCGAGTATCAATTGTTGACGTTCATAGAAATTGCACATTGTAAATCATAATACCTACTGCGAAAATAACAATGTACAAATTAAAAGCCATTACTATAATGTATTCGAACACATTACGCAAATAAGCATCAGCTTCACAAAGTGAATAATTACTGTTATGAAATTATTAATAATTCATTATTTGAAATCCAATAGATATGTACCAAAACGTTTCTTATTTCTTCATTCTAAATAAATGTGAAACATACAACAGTCAGTGTTTCGACTCGGGTTCGATTTACGGCTAAACCAAACATGGAAGGCTTTTAAAAATAAGCACATAAATAAAAGCGTTTAGTGATAAGGAGCATGGTTTAATGGTTGCTTACGAACATTTTGTAAAAAACTTTGGCAATTTAAAAGAGTGACGGAGCGTTCTACGTGCTTGATTTAAGAACTGGTAGTAAATGTTTTAGAAACATATTTTTTTCTGTCTTTCATAAGTGTAATAAAGGAAATAGATTTTCATTTGATTTAGGACTTGCAACTCTCGGCGCGTTCTAATAGTAAAACGTAAACTGATTTTGTAAAAGCTAGGATACTTAATTTTTTTCTCATTTCCGGAATTCCTCTTTCCGGGTGGCTTAGCCTCGCTTCATAAATAATGTAGGAAAATAATTTACTATAAATATTTAAAGGCTGCGTGTATTACTCATACATTTATGCAGTTCTTCTTGTTTAACACCTTCACAATGCGTTTTTAAATGTATATTATATTATATACTAGCTCTTCCCTGCCACGCTTCGCTGTGGTAAATTGTGATTGAATGGTTGAGAAATGAGAAACAAAACAAAGAAAACATTTCATATAAGTTTAAAAAAATTGAAAAAATAAAAAAACAAAAAAAAAAAAAGATAAAAAAATAGATAAAAACAATAAATGATGCGGATTATATATCATGCTGAAATATTAGCTTACACACGCAGCAAGCGTACACAAACAACACAACATAACATTTATATATATATATATATATATATATAGATGAACAATATCTATATTATATTATGTATTACTCCGAACTTTTGTGATACTCGTAGGCACATAGCCATGAGCGTGTAAGTCTCGTTCCATTGACGAGGAATAATTTATAATATAAACAATTTTAAGATATTTAATTTAAAGACTTCAATGTCCAATAAAACTTGTTCCGGTTTCGAAGGATTAGCTTCTTTACAGCAAAGTATTTTTGGTAAAACAGATGCGAACAGCGCTCATACTCTGTAACTTTGAATACGATTCCAATCCCGACATTTTTTTATGCAAGCTTTATGTTATCTCAATATCAGTAGCACTGATGTCGCAATTTGTTCTTGGAACCGGTATCGCTATACGAATTTACAGTGTGATGTGTCTGTCCAAGGCCCCATTGGAGGAGTTAAGATAAACTTATTTCATTCAGAAACAACAGGCACTAATCCGATATTGGAGAAACGATTTAACATATATAAGTATCATCGGACACTTCTCATTATAAAATATACTTGAAAGAAAAATAACATTCTATTTGTGAATTTGACGTCACTAATTAAAGAACTTTAAACTGAAGCCGTCACACTGACGTCAGGTTGACGTAAAATGTGATTTCCCCACCGTGATCCTTTAACTCGTGTTAAAACCAGTTTCTCACGAGATTTAATAAAACGTGTCTGAATACTTGTTAATGATACTATAACATACGGCTTTGTCTAAGTTATTTGATTATTATAAATGAATAAGAAATGGTAATTTTTGGCATTTTTTATTACTTTTAAAACACGTATATGATTAAAAACTTCATACATTTTATTCTTAGCTAACATTATACATAACGAACCAGTGGCGCAACAACCTTATATAATGGGCGTCAGATTTATATAAAATCAAAATCATTTATTCATATAGGTAACACAATGTACACTTATGAACGTCAAAAAAGAAATGTACATTAAATGCTTCTAATTTTACATTTACTGCTAGTTCGCAAATCAAGGGCGTAGAACGAAAGAAAAGATCTGGCAATAAACTCTCCGGCACTCCATTTAATCGCCAAGTTTGTAAGGGGCTGCAACCATTACTTCATGTTCCATATGATATCTTAAGTAATAAATAGTTAATTAATAATAATTACAAAATAAATATGTCCTCAATCAGCAGCAGGCCTGGTAAAATGGGAGCAAAGAATATATCGGTTTCAAGATAAATTTCTTTTTTTAATAGACCAGAAGGTTATCAGCCTTTTGTGCCTTGACACATACCGTAACTTTGGGTCTAAGGCATGCCGGTGCCCTTACGATGTTTTCCATACGAGGGAATGTTAAATGCGCACATAGACAGGAAGTCCATTGGTGCAAAGCCGGGGAACGTATTTAATATAAAAGATAGGAGTGACGTCATCACATTTATAAAAACATATATTTATAATTAGCAGACCGGCTAGCGTTGCTGTCGCTAAGGGTTTTGTTATATTACATTATTAAAAGGCCGGCAACGCACTCGCGAGCCCTCTGGCATTGAGAGTGTCCATGGGCGGCGGTATCACTTAACATCAGGTGAGCCTCCTGCCCGTTTGCCCCCCGTTCTATAAAAAAAAAAAAAATATTACATAGTAGTAAACTATTCAAGGGAAACGGTAGGAGAACACCAGTCATGGGGACCACCATGCTTTATTTGTGGTTATGCCATTAAATTGTAGCTTATGTGAAACGTTGGTACTTTCATCACAGCGCCATCTGTTAGAATTGTGTCAAATAATAAACAAATAATTTGCAATAAAATTACATTGCGGGTATAAATTGAGATGTAAGCTAACCTATCTTTTAAGTTAGATCAAACTGCACACGGTGTGCAAATTTGATTGATATCGGTTCGGTAGTTTAGGAGTCCATAGCGGACAAACAACGTGATACGTAATTTATATATATTAAGATTTAGTAAACTTTCTTCTTTTTCAGAAACATGCCGGCCTACGACAATGAAGGGGCCACCATATCTATGGAAGATGTACGGGAGCAGAAACCCAGCGCCATTGATGATGAATTAGCTATGCGGAGAAATAGAATGCTGAAGCCGCAGAAGTCTACATTATCTTCTAGAAAGAAGCAGGCGATCTGCGTCAGACGGGCGCACAAGAAATATGGGCCAGCGAAAAATCCAAACGTCATTTTGGACGGATTAAATATGACAGTTGCTAAAGGTGCCATGTAAGTGTCAAAAATAATTGTGTTTAGTTATGTTTTAGGTTATAATAAAATGCTAAATAAGAAATAACGGCATAATACATTGACTAAGCTAGTTTAGTACACTATTTATAGTCAACGTTCTGGCAGTGTTTAGAGTTAACATGATTGACAAATCCACCTAAGAAAAGTTTAAAAAAAACACAGACTAACAATTCAATGGAGTTAGGATTTTGATTGGCTGGCTTCATCTGTTTCACGGAAATTAACCGCCGCGTTATCAAGGCAGTTAAATAATATTTATATTAATAAAATCAACTACGAATGTTGTAAGAATAAGGAATGTTAATAAGAATAAGGAATGTTAAAATCAACAATTTTATAACGAATAAAATTATAGCTACAAATAATATTACTCCTTTATATAATGTCTGCTATGTTCAAATTATCTTGCAATTTTAAACCATTATCTACGTAAATTTGAGTTTTTTGTTTTTAAATCGAATTGTAAGTACGTAGCTTAGATAATGGTTTTTTAAGGACAATTTGTTAAATATCTATTTAGTAAAAAACCAAAATCTTGATACCGAACAAGTTTAAATATTTTTCGTTCGTTATAAAACACGTCATATCTCGTTGATTTATTATTCCGTGGTCAGAAGTAAAATGGATTAATGTCATGTCAAAAATCTAATTAATTTCCAACAAGGTCAGAACGCTTGATGACTTTATTAATGACTTATTAAAAATCGACGTTCATCGTTAATAATACTGAACTAAAAAGACAAAGGCTGGCCATTAACGCAAACGATTTATAGCATCAATCAATAAGAAGAGAGTGGGACACGACACGACCAATTCCATGTTTCGTCATAGTTTCTTGTAGTAGGGTGAATTAAAAAAATATATGGTGGAGTTGAGTAGTTTATATATCCATTTTGGAAGATCGATACACGATTTAATTAACTTCGCTTGATAGAAAAAAAGTCCTAACATAGCCAACTTTTGACACTTTGAATTCATTTTATGACGAAAATGTATATAGAACATAATTTTGAAAGTTACACGATACATTAAATGAAGCCTAGTAATCCATTTCAGGGAAAAAAAATGATAAAATTACATTAATTTAATGTTTTACATAACTAATTGTTATTACGGGCCGGCGCGCCTTAGTGCTCCAGCTCTCCACTGCGCAACGCCGTCCACTCCGAGACACTGATACAGCAATTCGCACTGGGATAAGGCCTTAAAGTCTAGCGATACGCATGGGTGTTCATGGGCTGCGTTAGCGGCCTTTAGGCCCCGTAGACTTGTTTGACCCCTATCATATAACAAAATATAGTAACATAGCCGATGTTATATGGGGGCAAAGCGTCACGGTACTATCCTTTTCTCGAAGCAGTTCTTTTTCGCCCCCCTATTACTTCGTTGTGGATAAAATTAGAAGCCTGAATAAGAGTGACACAATAAACCATCTAATGTAATATAACATCTACTACTCCTTAGATACATTGTATTTCCATGCGATAAACAAATTTGAGTATTTATTTATAACATAGAAGATTTGTAATATTGATGTGGTCACTTAAGATGTTTTTAGGTTAGCTAATTACGTTAAACCTTAAGACAGAAGGTCCCTTAAGTAGGGTCCGAATAAATTAACCGTTTTGGTATTGAAGGTATCTTACGACTTCTTACTGTAGAAGAATTTAGTAGCGAGAATTGTTTTTTTTTACAATAATAATGAATTACTTAAACTATTATTATAAGAAGCAATTACGTATATTACTTAAGTTATATACAATTTTTAACGTGTTTTGTTCCCTATTGTTTTTTATTGTCTTTATGACATTTGGATTCGATATCACAAGTGAATCTTGGCACAATAATTGCAGTTCCTTATAATCACTCTTTAAAAAAATATAGAGTGTCGGAGAGTTTCATGCCAGTTCTTCTGTCCCGTTCTACATTCCTGATTTGGCAGTAATTGTAAATTTAGACCTTTCAATTTAGTAGCTGTGCTAGTCTAGCGTGCTACTCTCATCCCTGTGCTCGTAGGTTCAAACCCCGGCTGTACACCGATGGACTTTCTATGTGCGCTATATTTAACACTATATATATTTTACACTTGCTCCTACGGTGACGGGAAACATGGGCATGCCTTAAACCCAAAAAAAAACATCACGAAACCTTAAGTTTGTAGCGCTACTGGACTAGATTTGGTAATATTTACGCTCATAAGTATATATACCATATGAATAAATTAATTTAAATTTGATTTTCCAGCTATGGTCTACTTGGTGCATCTGGTTGTGGAAAGACCACGCTACTCTCATGCATTGTAGGCAGACGAAGACTGAATTCTGGTGAAATATGGGTCCTTGGTGGAAGACCAGGAAGCCCTGGTAGTGGAGTGCCAGGTCCTCGAATAGGATATATGCCACAGGTGAGATTCTTATATCTATTAGAGGCAGAATTATTATGAGAAAGATGTTTTAAACATTTCCAAGAACAAATCCAAGTTTAGCAAAGACACAATCTAGTCTTAAGCTTCCAAATATTAACTTTATTATACGATAACCTATAGGCAGGGCTAAAAAATAAGTGGAACTTTTAAGTACGCATACGAGCCGAAGCTTATTCCTAGTTTTTAAATAAAAGTATTTAGCGCTGATAATAACCATTTGTTTTTTGATAGAAATTAAGTAACTGAATTTGAATGCTAGTTCTCTTGAGAAACTGAATTTGAATGCTAGTTAAATAAAAGCATATATATAATAATAATAGCATATATTGCTGTAAAACACTTATCCTAGTACATAAAAATGTAAAGTACTTTAAACACTAATAATTAATCGGCAAGCCTGTTAATTTCTATTTTACAGCTTGTCCTTGGACATAGGCCTCCTCTAAAAGCTTCCACTCCTCTCGGTGTCTAGCTTAACGTAGCCACATAGGGCCAGCTGCTCTACTTATCACCTTCTCATCTTTTTATTTATCTTCCTCGGTTTCTTTGTCAAAGCGAGGAAGCCATTCCGTCCCTTTTTCGTCGATTTATCTTTGTCTTCTCTCATAATGTGTCCTGTCCAAAAATATATATAATTATATTATATTCTATAATGTATAGGTAAAGTGTTAGGGATAATGCCTTTGGACGACGTTCTAATTATGCTTGCAAACCAATTACATCCCTCATTTATTCATTAAACATACAATAAAAAGTCAATATGCACTTACAAAGGTAAAAAGATGAAATACATCTTCATCGAAATGTCGACGGGTGAATGACACTAACCTTTTGGGTGAAAATTGCAAAACATAAATTTAATTTAAACATTATGAATCAACAAAACTGTATTATCCGTTTGTAAGGTCGTCACCTGGGCAGGCTCTGGCCTCCCCCTAGATAAAAACTTTTTTTAATAATTTGTCAAAATTGATTTTTATTGCAAATGAATTTAAACTGTTTACTTACATGTTTTATTTATTGTAGTTAGATGTTTTTGTTTGCTTTAAACCGTACCTACTTCTATTGGAGCCTTGAGAATCGGCTGGCAAGGCCTTTGGAGTAATAAATAAATAGAAAAAGAAAAAAAAAAAAAAAAGAAAAAGAAAAGTATAGGAAGCTTATACTAAGATGCACGTAATGGTGTTCCAAATGATTTGAAGGATTCTAAATATGTTTTAAAGCAGTTTTTTCGAAAATACCAGATGAGTTATATTATGATGTCATTAATTGTATCGTTACAATTTTATTATTATTTTGACAGTTTTGTATAGATATCCTTTGACATTGGGTCCATAAACTATGTTAAATATACGAGCTTATTCATGTAATCCTTAGGGACTCCATTTAATAATATATTTTAGTTATTATATTTTAAGGGTAGTTATTGTTTTTATTGTTCTTTTTTTGTATAGTTCCTTCTGTTATGATAAATACATAAATGTAATAAAATTTATATTAGATATTTTTTACCTAATGTAAAGAATATACGACAAACGTTTCATTCTTTAGGATTCGATTAAACATTGTTTTATTGAATTTTATTCCCATGTTGCATTTAATAAGTGGCTTCCTTACGTTCTTATTGTTCTATATCTTTATACTATTTGCATGCCAAATATTGGCTAATGATAAAGCCTTCTTATTCGTTTGTTTTACATCTGCATTTCGGCAAACATTTGATTTTGAATGCACGTTCTCTGTTACTTCCAATTATTGCGATATCTATCCTGAGGTCTTTGCATGCAATTTCGATGTTCCATCAATATGCGTAGCGCTGTCGCAACACCGGAATCGCGCGGAACCTGCCTTGCGATTCTGTAACTCACTTTTCGAACTCTCACTGCGGTTTTTCGCAGCGGCGGTCGTGCTCAAATCAGTCGTGAAGCAGTCATTTTACGATTTGGCATTCTGATAAGGAGGGAGGGGCTTGTAGTTTATTGTTTATCAGAATGCCAAATCGTAAAATGACTGCTTCACGACTGATTTGAGCGCGACCGCCGCTGCGAAAACCGCTGTGAGAGTTCGAAAAGTGAGTTACAGAATCGCAAGGCTGAACTCCTATGAAAAGACTGTCTAGACTCCTAAGCTAACAATAAGACTGTCTAGACTCCTAAGCTATGATAAGAACGAGCTGATTTCTGATCGACATTATAGAGATATTATAGGTCTACAGTTAATAAGCATTGGCTCTAAATCTTCATCTGTCATCTGACGAGGAAACACAGTTCGGTCTTGTTTTTAAAGTTTCGAATTTGCTAATACTAAAAAGTCTGGAAATCGAGATCACGGAAGTTACCTGGTACCTGTACTGAAGTAATGATCTCGTATCCATAAAATAGCTGTTTTGGACAAATGTTATTTTCCAAAGAAAAGAAAATAACACAATCACGAAACAATCGCATGTGACACGGCTTTCCTATGGGCCTAACGTGGACTTGATATAATAATAGCATTACCAAAAATTTCGTACAGAAATGACATGAGCTGGCGCCACCATTATCCTACGTGACCATTTTCATACAAATGCTTATCACACGTGTCGCAAAAGCTAAATCGATCTTCCGAAAAACATATGATTAAAAGGCATAGTCTATTTTATTGACGATATCTGAACATGTAAAGAATGAAAAAGAAGAAGATGTTATAATGATGTTAAAAATTTATGAAGAGGTAACACTAACAAATTTAGATCTTTCTTGATTCAACGTAAGACATTATTTACAGAAATCGATATTTCGTGTTTTTAGCAATCGTGTTATCTAATATATAAAATTCCCGTGTCACAATGTTCGTTCCCATACTGCTTCGAAACGGCTTGACCGATTCTTATGATTTTTTATGCATATTCAGTAAGACTGAGAATCACCTGTCTTTCAGGCCCCTAAGTGATAAGGGGTGTCCACCCCAAAAATTTTGTTTTTATTTTTTATGACACAACATGCAAAAATACATACAACCCCTAACTTTCTATTTTCTTTCTTTCTTATAGTTATTTTATTAAACTAAAACAATTTTCATAGAAATAATATACATGGCAAAACAAAGTTTGCTCGGTCAGCTAGTATTCAATAAGATTCCAGGCAAGTGTACCAGACATCATTACTCATAATCTTTAATACCTATTGAGAGATAAAACATTGTAAAGACTTCATAGCAATTACTAGGCGTTTAAGAAAATACTAAAATAATTAACAATCGTATTAATAATGTTGAATATTAAAACCGTTATTTTACGATGTTAACGTGACGCGCAAATGAGTTTATAGTATTTTTCCATCTAATCAACCAACATTATCGCTATTAATAATTAATAGTACACAAAAACACGATCTAAGTCAGGACGTTGACATTCACATTTGTGTCATATGTACTGATAGATAAGTCTTTGATTTAAATGATCCTAATCCTTGGGATTGATTTGCTCCAGTTCAAACAATTTGTACGACTCAAAACTTGGCAATTAAAAAGAGTAGCGGATAGTTTCTTACTAGTTCTTCTTGCCCGCTCTACGCCCTTGACTTGCCAACTGGTAGTAAATGTAAATTTAAATTCAATTTAACATCTTTTCTGTTGAGGTTCATAAGTGTACTTGGTTACCTATATGAATAAAGTTATGTTGAGTTTGCGTTTCGTTTATGTGAACCGATGTAAACGTGAATTTTAGATTTAATTGTGAACATAAATTCGATTTAAACATTTTAAATTTAATTAACTAAATCCGTATCCGTCGCCAGGACAGGCTCTAGGGGCAGGTAAACTTTTTTTAAATAATTGGTCAAAATTATTTTTTTATTTTTTATACGTTTATATAGAGAATTCAAGCTATTAACAAGGAGATGTAGTAAATTTTTGGTAAAAATCTAGCGGTTTTTGCCCCAACATCAATGGAATTAGACTCTTTTAACAGAAACAGTTTTTGGTCAACTGTCATTAACAGCTCTGGTTCACCATTGCAGCAAAGCACTTCAAATGTTACGTAATAAAGTATTAAATTAATCCGAGTACATCAGCCATTAGTGCCTACCAACCAGTATAATATTGATGTAGTTCGAACTTCATTACCACACATTATGTTGACTTTTAGGTTAAGCCTGATGTATAAGTATGTACATTGTTCACTTAGCTATGGTCTACTGCCGTCTATATAATTACGTAGGATTTTAAAGAAACTTTTGCCAACTTGCGTGAAATTTTTGTTTTACAGAACCTTTTGTTAGTTTACTGATTCGGATTACATATTTTTCATTGATTAAAAATTGTCAGTTTTACATAATTTTAACAGTATTTAAATGTTATTATGTTGACAATTAGTAACTAATTTTATTTAATACTATGCTTCGGATGTTTTAAAGTAATAAAAATGCTTAATGACATTGCATATATAAAATTTATTGATGTGTGAAAATTTATAAATTTAATTAGCTGTGTAAACGTAACGTTCTCATTCGTATCATAAACATAATCTTGTGTTTGCACAGTTCAATATGCCAAAATTAATTTATTACTATATTTTTTAATGCTTTGAAAGCACTAAAAATTATAATTAAGATTTTTCACAACTTTTATTATTAGATAACATTCCCAGTTAACTGCAGAAAGCCTTCAGTTCTATTTCCGGGGGAATATTTCCCCGGGTCTTTATATAAAAAGTCAAATTGTAATAACGAAGTTGCCCTGATCATTTATTATTTAAACTCAAATAGCATTTTCCTTAGAAAAAAGTATAAATCTATTGTAACCATTTTTCCTCAGGAAATCGCGTTATTTGGCGAGTTTTCTATCCGGGAAACCATGATATACTTCGGGTGGATATCCGGTATGACCACCAAGGAGGTGGAGGAGAGGATCGACTTCCTTGTTGACTTATTACAGCTCCCTAACCCCTCACGGTCAGTATATACTTCTATAATAATCTGTATGTGTTTAATGGACACTGATGTACAATTTAAGAATTTAGAATAAACATGTCTGAACATAAACATTTCGTGCATATATATATATTATTTTGTGTTCATATTTTTACATTTATTTCACAATTGATTGAGTTTATGACAGAATATTCTAAATGTAGCAATATTACAAGGGGCGGTGTTATTTATACAAAGCGATGGCTTCTATATATATATAATAAATTTTAGTACTACTTGATACACATACTATTGTATCATATCCACAAAGCAAGTTGTTTAATAATTATTAGGATACCGATCAAAGTTCACTTCATAGCTACTATCACCAAGAAGTTTTTTTTCGGAGGGTGCTCATGTAGTCTATGGTATATTTACTTATTATTATATAAAGCGAAGGGAATATTTATATTACCGAAGGCGAAAGGCCAAATATATAAGAATTACATAATTAATTTGAAATTGAAACGAAATAATTAAGTATTATCAATATTGCAGGCAAGTAAAGAACCTGTCTGGAGGTCAGCAGCGACGGGTGTCGCTTTCAGCTGCTCTTCTGCATGAGCCGGAACTGTTAATCCTCGATGAACCAACGGTGGGACTTGACCCTGTCTTGCGACAAAGGTAAATATGAATGTTTATCACAGAAAATATTTTTATTTAGACAAGACGGAAAGTAACTCTATACGATGGGGTGGGGTGTTGTTTTGAAGTTCTAAGACCTTCGGTGGGGGAATAGATAAATAATTATTTTTAGTTTCATTGTTTTAAAAGCCAGGAAACCGCCAGGATTGATTCTAAGAACTTCTTAATTGAACGTTATTTTCCCAATCTTACTTTAAGATATTAATAAATAATTTTTTAAGTAGTGTATTTTTGTGTCACACAATTACGAATCTATACATTAAAATGTGTCAAAACCTTTCATAAACAAAATTACAATTCTCTTAAATGTTCATCAAATCAAGCCTTGTTCTGGGTACTGGGTACAGATTAATAAAAAAAAAATGTATCCGACAAACCCTATTTATTAATCTCAATTAAAATAATCGAAAGCTCTTAAATTTATTCCAGTATCTGGGACCATTTGGTGGAAATAACGAAAGGCGGCCGAACGACAGCCATCATCACCACACATTATATTGATGAGACTAAACAAGCCAATATGGTAAGTACGACTATACTAAGTCAAGTCATTTGTCAGAAGATATTTAATACTGGTATCGTTCGTAATTAAAAAAAATATTTACAAAATATATCAATATCACGATAATACATTTTGATTCCGGGGAGAATTTAAAAACAAATGACAACGCATTTCCTTCTTGTTTCTCTTTGTAGTTTAGGCTTTAGTACCATACACATTTTTGCTCTTTTGACGTGTCTTTTCACATAAAGAGCACGCGCACATATGTTTCGGAATTTATACCTCAGGGTTGTGAAATTAACGTAGCATAAAATTGCTCTATACATACAAAGATATCGTATCTACTTATTACCAAAATACTAGTACATGCTCTAAACGAGTGACCCCACCCTTTTTTGTGCCGTGCCCCACGTTAGCCCTTCTAAAATTCTTATTAAATGTAACATAATTTTTAATATTTAAAAATGGAATTGTTCACTTAAGAAATTTAAATTATACGTTTTACGTTATTTAAGTAAGTAACTAAATTTCCAATACATATCATAAAAAAATTAAAATCAAATTCTAAATTTGAATTTCAAATTCTTAACAAACTTCTGTGGGGCGTCCGCTCCACACTGCTCTAAACCAACCCAAAGCGAGATATATAATTAGATAAAATCTATAAAATAATACCCTCCTAATCTCAAACTTTTATTTAAAATCCCTTTTCAAAACTATATTCCAACCAAACCTTATTAAAACTGAATATTTCTAAAGTATCTGACATCGTTAAAGTCAAGTGATAAAATTCGATTTTACGATATAAAATTTGATCGCATTTATATGATGCAAATTTTAAAATATCTTAAGATAATACTAGAATTTTACGAGCTATATCTTTAATATAAATAATTTTTAAAGTGTTTTACAATCTCTTAGCTATTTTAAACAATTTATCCCAAAGGAGAATCCGTTTGAGATAAACTTTTTGATACCCATTTATAGTTTTCTTGTTTAGTTTATTTTTAAACAGACACAAAAATAAATGTATTCCAGATTGGTCTAATGCGTGGAGGACGGTTTCTCGCCGAAGAGTCACCGACTGAGCTGATCAGGCGGTACCAGGCCGAGAGTCTTGAAGATGTCTTCCTCAAGCTCTCAGTTCTCCAAAACATGGGGAAACGGAGACGATCAAGTATCCTCGCGGATGTCGTCGAGAAGGTGGAAATACCGGCTATACCTGTAAGTTATTATGTGCGATATGCGATTTCCGGTAGAAATTCTAGTTGATTAAGAATTTATGTTTTACTTCAAAAAGTATAGTTTAAACTGCTTCGGCACCTTAGTTCAGGTCGATTTCTGGATTTTACTGAATATATGATTATAAGTTTAAACGCCTGGTTACTTAGTGAAGTTTAATTCCCGGGAATTTTAGAAGGCAATTTGCATACTCAGAAGATTTGCCCACTGCATCGTCCACATGAGCAACGTTGATCGAAGAAGTCATTTCTAAGCCAGCGCTGGTACTCTGTAACTCAATGGCGATCCCGACTTTAATGTTGAGTTTTTGTACCTCACCATTGTAAGGTTGCAACGTAGCGTAAATGATATAGTGTACTAAATTCCATACCAAAACGTCGATATCACTTTCAATGCCTTACAAATTATTATATTTGGAGCTTTGTAAAGGGCCTCTACACGGGCACTTTTAATGAAATATGTGGCTATATCTATATATATCCCGAAAATACAAAAAAACATTTAAATATTTCTGCAAGAGTCACTATTTTGTCTTTACATGGTAAACATACATGGCTAGTACCTATGGCTGCAATGACGAACGACAACAACTATTCGAAACAATTCGTTGGGCAAACACATTCTGGACATTATATAATTCTTTGACAAACAAATTTTTATATCCGCAATTCAAAAGTAAAGTAAAGGCTCGAGCATACATATCCAAATATTGCAATTCGTGTTTCATAGCTTCGTTTATGAATCTTTCAGGACCCAACAGCCATAGATGTTGAAGATGAAATAGGTGAAATATCAGGAGAGTTTGGAGACAATGTGTCAATGAGCAGCAAAGGCAGGAGTGTGATCGCAGACCTGACAACAGCAGTAGAAGCTTTGCCACCAGAAGATGAGGCTCCTGGCGGTTATCTAGACAGAATGAAGCCCATGAGCTGGCACCACATGAGGGCATTGATATGGAAAAATTTCTGGAGTCTGTTCAGGAACTTTGGGTAAGATTTTATCAAATTTCAAAAATATAATGTATGCTTCAACCATTACACATGCTAAAATGAGCACAATCAAATACTAATGAAAATATGTTATAAAAAGCATAAACACATGTGAAAATGACTTGAGAACTATAGTAGGCCCAACGCTACCGAGATCCATGCAACTTCCTTACAATCGAGTAGCCCGCAATATCCAAGCACAACTCCCGAGAGGACTTTTTGTGTCGAAGAAGTCTCATTGGTCCGCCAAGTATCCACGAATATACAATGTAAATACAAAAATAGCAATGGACACTCTCAATGTCAGAGGGCGCGCGAGTGCGTTGCCGGCCCATATCATAATTAAAATCGAGCTGGCAGCTACCTCGGACAAAGAATTAGTCTTGCTATTCAAAGAACGCTGCCAGTATCTTCGGAGCCTTGCCTAAAGGGAATCCTTTTAATAATATATTTTATATTATTAAATTATAATTTATATTAAGGTTAGTTATTGTTTTTAGTTAAGAAAATGGTAAATACTGTATATTTATTGTTAAATAAGTATTTATCTTTAGAAGAACGTCGTCAATAGCAATTAGGTAGGAATATAACAAATAAAATAAAACAATAGTAATAGTAAATAAGCAATTGTTACAAGGTTGATAAAACGACTTGCCGGAAGGTTTCTATGCAGTTGCAGTTGCTGAAAATGTCCACCGAATCATTTTTCATCACATTATAAACCCGACACCATCTGTTAACAGGACCATTAAACGATAAGCACAAACGTGAGATAGCCGTGTGAAATGGATATTTGTTTTTTGTCAAACGTATACTGCAGTGGATGAATTCCGTATGAATCCAATATAGTATATTTTGTAAAGACCTCACGTCGCAATGCAAGTAAAAAGAGGTCAAATCTTTTAAGGCGAGAGTCGTAGGTTATAAACGAATCCTTCAAGTAAAGACACAATGTTGACGCTTCCGAGTTTGTATTAACTATCATTGTTGGTGTTTTAATTTCACTATATTTGCTAAGATTTGTGAATGTTTTTGGTATTATAAACCTTGATTGCCATACAAGAAGAATTTCCTATACAATTCCAGATTAATTTTTGGCTTTCTTTTTTAATCGATTTTAATTATGACTCTGGCATTGAGAGTGTCTATGGTCGGTGGTAATATCAGGTGAGGCCCGTTTGCCCCCTGTTCTATATAAAAAGACGTAAGAGATTGTGGTCGTAGACATCATTCAATTTTTTTTCCTATTATTTCTTAATATATTAGAAATAAACTAAAAGTAAAAGTTGATGCCTGATACCACAGTATACATTTTAAATGCCTGACACACTAGAGTTAAAAAAAGAAAATACAATTCATACAAAAACGAAACGAAAACATTATATCAAACAGAAAGAATACATTTTATATTTAAAATAGATTTGTAGTTTATATTTCTATATAGTAAGCAGCTGTAATACATGTTTTAAATTTGTTACAGACTTCTAGCCTTCATCATTGGTCTTCCCCTATCCCAAATGGTACTCTTCTGTCTTGCCATTGGACACTATCCAGTGGGTCTACCGATCGCAGTTGTGAATTATGAACTTGGCCCGAACAATACTAATGTACCATGCGACTATGAGAAGAATAAATGCCCACAAGATCCTGAAACCTGGGAGTGGAATTTAACGAGATTCAGTTGTCAATATCTGGACTTTCTCTCGAAGAGACAGTCGAATTTGGTAAGACTTTAGTTGATATGCAGCGTTGGCCTAAGCGTGCGACTCTCATCCCTGAGGTCGTAGGTTCGATCCCCGGCTGTGCACTAATGGACTTACTGTCTATGTGCGCATTTAACATTCGCTCGAACGGTGAAGGAAAACTTCGTGAGGAAATCGACTTGCCTTAGACACAAAAAGACGATGGCGTGTGTCAGGCACAGGAGGCTGATAGAAAAACATGCCTATTAGGAATAATTTTGTTTTAAATTTAGAATTTTATTTAACTGGATCTGTTATGGCATCAAAGGTTGTTTTAATATTGTCTGTGACCTACGCGAGCTTCAATAAAACTAGATAAAGCTTTTGAAATGTTAATTAAATACATAAATTAGCCTAATCCGTTTAATTTCAATTCAAATATTTACGTGTCGTGAAATTTGTCGTATGTATTTGTTATTTATTTATTATTTATTTATGCTTTATTACCTTCGTCACAAACATACACATAACAAAAATACAAAAAAAACATGTTACAAAGTTATAAGGCAACGGGCGGCCTTATCGCTAACAAGCGATTTCGTCCAGGCAACCCTAATGTGGAACAATGAAAAAGAAACACCTACAGAGGGTAGAGTACAAGAATTGCAGGAATTATTATTAACAACAAAAAAAAAACTCAAAATAACCCGTTACAATAACTAAAATAAAGTAAAGTCTATAGGAAAAATAATAATAATAATAAATAAAAGTATGTATAGACAAAAATTTAAAATACAATCAAAAGGTTAACAGAGTCACAATAATTAATATATATAAGCATAGGCAGCTAATTACGAGACAGAACGAAAATGATCAAAAAGAAGCTTTTTGAATAAATTTAAGGACCGAGCTCGTCTAATGTCAATTGGAAGAGAATTCCATAGCAGAATACTTTGCACAGTAAAGGAGGAGTGATAGAATTCAGTTATTTATTTCTGTCTTATTAATACTATTTTCATTTATCACTATTTCACTTTATATATTATATAAATTACAGCCTTTTCTGTAATATTCCTGTAATTTAACAATATCGTGCTAAGTACTCAAATTCTCTTGGTAACGGAAACATAAAATTAAATAAGGGTATAATTATACAAATCGTGGAGGCGAGTCACGACATCAATTATAGTGTAATGTGAGGAATTAATTTTAGACTATACAAAATTTTGGCCTGAATTCTCCCTTTTAAGAATAAAACCTTTTATATTAAAGTCATTTGTAAGTTCTCTCTCTCGTTCTCTCTGACGTTTCGACTGCTATACACTATAAAAAGCCTATGGATAAACCAAAAAAATTTAAATGATGTCTTGATTAGCTTCTCATTTCTCAGTTTCCGATATTATCGCCACCTCAAAAGCCTCCAAGATTTTTTCCACATTTGCCAAAACCTGGCCTTTGCTTTGGCTTTGCCTACTACCTGGTGTGGGCCTTGCGTCTTTCAACGTTTGGTTTTTAATAACAAATTGCTTAAAAGACAATTTTATATTTGTTAGTCACCAATATTTCTATGTGGTACGTCTTTACTTGGGTAAAGTCTTAATATGGAATACTACTCATATCTCTGTAGTGCTAACACTTTCCTTTTAGCCAAACAGCGAGCTATCATTATATCTTTTTCTATAATCTTTATGGCTGGTTTTAGTCTACGAGACAGATTATATAAATTGAGAATATTTATCACGTGGCCTGTTTAGGCTGGAATAAATAATCCAAGTTGTCCATAGTTAGGGTAAATACGAAAGTAGTATATTTACCTGACCTTATATATTATTTAAACATCGAACTCGACTCTAGATAACTTTGGAAACAACTCAGCCAATTATATCCGAATCCGTCAATAAACTTTCTTAAGCTTAAAAATAAACCAAGAGTTTCCTATTTACCATTCATGTTATTTTATTTCAAGAATAGAAAATTTCCGTCCTACGTCATTAAGTTATTTTGGTAGCATTTTATTTTTAAAGCAAGAAGTTTTTTTGGTCCTTCGATCACGTTATTTCATATATTTCTATAATTTAGTATCTTTAATGAGGTACTTATTATTTGGAACTTGATAAGTTCGCTTATAGCTGTATTAAGCTTAACGATTTAAGAAACGCTTTAAAAATGAACACTGTTAAAAGTAAGTCTTTATCGACATGTTGAAAATAGGTTGTCTGCCTATAGAGCCTTCTGACCTGAAAATAGAACAGGGCTATCCAATTACTAATTATAACACGAATTTCACACATATACACACAAGCAAGGGAAATAATTAAACAAAGAATTATCAAAGCATTAAACTAACTAAGTAAGCGCAGTCAAAGGCATATAGGTCTAAAAATATATAATAACACTTTTCAAAAAAATATAAAATATTTTTAAATAGGTTTTAGGTATCATATATGTAATGCTCAAAAAATAATAACATATATAAATCTAAAATAACTTATAAGTATCAGAAAAAAGGTACTTATTGATGATTTTCATTCGATATATTGACTCCCATTGAATGCTTGAATTAAAATAAAAATACACAAAAAGTATAACAAAAATATTGGTACTTTAATTCTTCTGTTCGTATAACGCTAAATGAATTTGTGCTAGCAACCACGAATACTGCCTTTAGTAGAGGCTTAACAAATATTTTTCTTTTTCAGATATACTACCCCAACGAAGTAGTAGCAATGTCAAAAGCAGAAAGAGGGGCCGCTAGAGCTGTCCTTGTCTTTCCGGCTAATTTCTCCACTAGTCTTCAGGATAGAATGAAAGATCCGAGGCATACAGACGTTTATACCGTCGAAAGCTCAGAAATCACTGTACATATGGATGATACAGGTTAGTGCGGTTAATTAAAAGACTAAGATAATTTAGTAGTAATAATAATTTGTTTGATCTGACAGAAAGACAACTTTTTTCGTATATGCGGAATACTTACGAATATATTTGAAAACTACAATATACTACAATCAGTAAAAGTTTCATCATCGGACGTCACAGTAGAATACGAAATACCACCCGTATCCCCTCGACGTACATCGTTCCACAACTGAGCGTTTCTTAAGGCAGTTTTTGCACTTCCACTATGTGGTGCTGCCCACTGAAGTATTTCCGAACCAATTCCACTTAGGATCCTTCAAGAAAAGAGCGTACCAATTCTTAATAGGCCAGCAACGGACAGTCAGAAATTGCCTTATAAGACGCTCAGTTGTGTAACGACGGACGTCGAGGTGATACGGCTGGTATTTTGGATTCTGCCTTGACGGCCGATTATAGAGTATATATAATATATATATATATATATATATATATATATATATATATATATATATATATATTTATAGAGATATTAGAATATATTTATAATTGTGAACCTCGTTAGAAATTTTACAAGAAATTAATAAATTCATCGATATTGACCTTAAAATTGAATCAAATTATTGAGTGTGTGCGTGGCAATTTTTGCTTTCACAAATCATATATTAATACCTATATATGACAAAAAATAGCTAAAAGTAACAAGTCATGTCGTTTTTAAAGGTTAACTCAAGTCGATATCAGTAATATTAAGATAATTTAACTGTCTTATTATTGTTCTAGTACGAAAAGGGCAATCAATAACCATTTAGCGATCTCACCGCTCATAAATATAAACTCTAAAACAAATTTAACTAAAGTTATTTGCGAAGATTCGAGTCGTTACAATAAAATATTTCGTTGATTTACATAATATTCGAATAATTCATAAACTCGAATGATATTGGAAATTTTATCAAAAAGCTATTAGTGGGATTTTATGTTATAAACTTTTATTGATCTCGATAATATTGGAATTGTTTTAATTTAATAGCCGTTGTTCGATAAAAATTATAAACGAATTTTAGATTTTTGTAAGAATGGGTCTTGGAATAAATATTGTTTGATGAGGGGAAGACATGTTGTCAATGTCATGTTGTTATCGGCAACGCACTTGCGAGTCTCCTGGCAATGAGTCCATGGGCGGCGCTATCACTTAACATCGGGTGAGCCTCCTGCCCGTTTGCCCGTCCTTGTACATAAAAAATGTTGTATCTGTTTCGTGTATCTTAATGCACAAGAGGTGATCTTCAGTAATATTATGCCACCCTAGTACAAACTTAACCGAAAACAATAATTGTTTTCGGCGAAAATCGAATTCAGGACAAATTATGTTTCTCAACTTTAAGTATTTTCTATTGAGTATGTACCTATCATTAATTTAATTTATAATGATATTCGATAGTGTTTTGAAATTTTTTAAGCCAAAACTCCCATTTAAATATTTGAGGTCGTAGTCCCAGTGAGGTCCCAGTGCGACTCATATAGATATATATATATATATATATATATTTATATGATATTTAAATATTTGAAATATTACCCGTTTGTATATTAAAAATAAAAAAATAAGTAGTTTTTAAAAAAGTAATAATAAAATAAAAATAACTATAAAAGTAAACCTCACAAAACTTCAATTCATTACATCTAATGAAATGCATCAGGCGTATAATTTTGTCACAATTGCATTCTTTACATTATACAGAATATGGCGATTTCCAAAATTATACTCTCACGCCGTTGAAGAAGGTATAAATTTCGGTCACACAAGCGAAATTTGATTACCTCGATGGCGGAAACTTAATTTGTATGCAAATTACCATTTTTATGATGAAGTTTTGGATTAAATTATATTTTACGTAAAATGTTCCGTAGTACTAATGTACTAACGGTTAAAATCAACATGTCTTGTTCGAAACGGCCACCGCTTTTAGTCAGTTACATTTTTAACTTATCTGTAACGCTAAAAGAAGCTTAGGAAAGGTCAGCGGACTGTAGCGTTTCGTTTTTATTGTTTCTATTGAAACAAGATGGACTTTCTTAGAAAATTATTGTTTGCCCTTAGAGGCATAAAAAATCCAGCTCAAAAATCCATTGTTATAACAAATAAAACTGACCTATACACCACATACTATTATAGTATTCATAAGGCCATTATATTAAATTTGCCCTAAGCTGGCCTTAACAAATAGCAATTAAATGGTAGACGGAGTAATCCTGGTAACTGTCAGTTATAATTAAGATCGCCAAAATTGAGAATGCGTAGTATATCTTAGGTTTTACGGCAATTTATCTTTGTAATTTAGTTGCTGCATCGTATGTCTTGAATTTATCATGATTTAGTTTGTCAAATCAGTTTTGTATCGCGCAGCGAACGACCACTATTTAAGCCTTGACTTGTTTATATCGCGGAATATTAAAAGGAGTATTAAGAATATCCATCATGAGCACACCGCGCACACACTCTCACGTACACACCCTCACTTTCACACCATCACACAACACAACCGAATTAGATACTTAGTTAAATGTATTCCTTAATTGTTATTGATTGCTTTCGTAGATATTTGATCCTTTTTGTATTCCATCATTGGCTTTATCTTAAGTATAATTGTTTCTATTATATATTATTTATGTTAGCTGTAGGATTACGAAATAAATAAATTAATATGAAGACCATTCTGTGCGCCTTATTCTCGGAAAATTTGTCCGGAGATATCTAAATCCTTACGAAAATTAATTTGTTTCGCTTTCCTGTCTTCTCACAATACATTACCCATTATTCCTTAATAAGCCTCTATTTCTTAGCAATCAATCTACGTAATTAATCTTCTTGATCAATACACACGTATATCACATAGGAGGACTGAGATTGATAGCATATGTGTAATAATTACACTTCTCGAAGGGAATATATTGTATGAATTTTCTCACTTCGCTGTAAACACTTTGCTTTATTATGTTCTATATATATAGTACATAAAATATAGTCCATAACTAACTAATAACCAACTCGTTATGGTTTAGTGGACTTAGCGCGCGACTGTCATCTGAGGTCGTAGGTTTGGAACCCTGGTTGTGTACCAATAAATCGCATGCTCGCATGCTTAGACTGTGGAAAAAGGCGGCGTGGTCTGGCACAGAAGGCTTATTATACTTACTTGCCTATTAGAAAAAAAACTATATACAGAATTATCACGAAAGATACAGAAATCTTAAGCCCAAACCTAAAGAGGTTCTAGCGGCATTGGTATTCATAAAGTCTTCTCGATGTTTATTCCATTGATAAAACACCACCAAATATATGCAGCACCGCATGTGCATGGAACGCCATGTCATTAAATATTGTACAATTTAAACGGTAATAAACCAAATAATCACCTAATTAAAAAGCTTATTTGGTAACAACATATTTAGGTATTGAGTGTTAAAAATTATGAATTACATAGAAAATAAAACATTGTTCAATTTAAATTTGAACAAAAATGAACGACATTAGAAAATAATTTTCTTTAGCTTTTCTACCTTACTGTCCTATAAAGATAAGGGAGTAGGATGGCTCAATAAAGAAAATGTATATTTTCTTTTGTAATGATAATAAGGTTCAGACAGAGGGAAAATTCTATTTAATAAACGAAAATTCTTTCAAAAATAAAGGGTTGCAGATTCACAAGAGTCTTTATCTAAAACTAGACTTTAAAATATACTTTCGTTACGATATATTTGAAGAAATACGTATGGACTTGTGGTTATATAGCTCACAAAATAAGAGCTGCCGTTAAATGAAGTAGATACTAGATAGTTTAGCTCATAATTAGAATATTACTAAAAATCTGTTGTTGCCAATGGAACATTGCCTAGTCTAAATAGTATGTGTTACTTTGCTTCCGTATGTCAAAATCCAAAACACTTTTACGCTAGCCCTTCGTTTCATTGAACACAGCTATCGTTATATAATAAAATTGATTAAGAATTGAAGAAAGTCTTCAAGTCTAGTGTTCTGTAGTCTTGACATCTGTGGTCAATCGTGGTTAGATACAATATTTTTATATCGATATTTCATTCGTTGTTAATACTTAGTCAAATTCATACTAAGGTTAATAAATATTGTTGTTCACACTTATTTGAGCTATGATTTGTCATAGAGCTTAGCGCCGCAGCGTCTATGATTCTTTTCACAGATAATACAAACTGAAAGCAAATCTCTTTCTGTCAAATTGTGTTTTTGCTGTGTTGAAAGGACACAGACTATACTTTAATTTAAAACGGTGTAATTAGATTGATGTGTTTTACATGAATAAGGAGTCATTCTTTAATATTGTCTGTATTGATATGATATTGTTAAATCAAATAAAAGTGTTTTTAAAGAAAATTAGTCCTATGACAAAAAACATCAAATTGCTTACACAGGAATGAAGAGACAACTTCAACGCTTTTATTAAACAAAACGTTATAAGATTCATACGTACTAAATCTACTATCTATATTTTATGGATCCATAAAATACTGTAGCGGCACTAAATATAAGGGTGTATAATGTTATGCTTAGTGACATAAATCCTGAGGGTATTTTCAGAAGTCATAATTTCCACGTGTGTCTAATTACGTCTAATGAAGGGGTTAAAGTTATTATAGGACGAGACCACTTTACTACAAAAATATAAAATCAAATTCACAAATTTAAATAAGAAATATGAAAAAGATGTCAACTATTTAAAACATTGTATTATAAAATAATTGCTTAGTGAAACATACTTCTGTGAGAAACCTAGCGAATCTTTTGAATTGCATGATATAATAGGTAATATAAATATTGTATTCATTTCATGTTGTACTTAATTATTCAGGATATATCCTTGTTAGATTATCTTTGATCGATTTACCACCAAAAAAAGTGCGTGCGTACAAAGTACACATGTCAGAAGTGAAACTTGTTTGGCAAACTAATTTTTAAGTCTTGTTCCAATTTATACAAATCTAAAACTTTACATTTCCGAGACTTAGAGGGAGGGAAAAAGGAAGATAATATGTTAGGAATTTAATTGTCATTGTCATTTAAACACGTGGCATTTTAATTTACAATTGTCGATTTGAGATTTCAATAAATTATTTTGCATAAAATATACAATACTAATATGTATTTCATATTCTATTTACGAAATTTTAATTTTAAAAATAGAATCTCTATAAGGTAATTCACCCTTCTCACTCTCTATCAATCAGTCTCAATCGCTCTCTCCATTTTCTTCGACCAAAACGCTGCACATCTTCGTGACGTTTTTTAATAATTTTAATAATGTTAAGTTTCCCTTCAAAAATTTTCTAAATATTATATTATTTTAGAAGAATGGTTAAACGCTCCGATTCTAGAAGATATTTCGTTCCTAAAATCTATTACATTTTATGTTCTTATATCATTTAAGGATCGCCTCGGACGTAAAAGAGGCTTTTCTTGTGAAAATAGCAAGTCATATTCAATAAAAAGCACAGCCTTTGTTCATTCCACTCAGCCTTTGATAGGTTAAATATTCAGGATAGAGGAATAAATTCGCTGAAGCGAAAAAGAAAAAATATATGGGTCGGCGAGAATGTCGTTCAAAGTACGCAAAGGGTTTTAATGTTAAAAAGACAATTTTACCGGCTTTTTAGACGTTAAATTTAAAATTTTGTGCGGCTGCGAGATGATCGACCCGAGGTGGTTATTGTGGCTATTGATCATCCGTCATGGTATAACAGAGAGGACTAGATAGAGTTTCACATATCTTCATAAATTGTAACGGTACAGGGCAAAAGCAACTCTATTTCATAAATCACAGGGACTTGATTGTGTACTAGGGTAGTGGTCGGCAATCTTGTTAACCAAAACTACTAATAATATTCGTAAAAATATAATTAAAATAATTTCAAAGTCAGACAGATAAATCTTAGTTTATGAGTCAGGAATTTTTTGAGTCTATCCCAAGCATTAAAAATAAATAATATGATTAAATGCCTACGCTAAACATTTTGTGGAAGTGCTTCAGCCGAGGAGTCGAAGAGATAGTGCGTATCTATGTTTACTAATGTAGTGAATTTGACATATTATGTTTAATAAGTATGAATTTAGTTGTTAGGTTCTTACATCTCATCCTCTCATATATTTAGTTATCTTGTGCAGCTTGCTCATACATATACAAGATAACCTATATTAACCATAAAGTAATATAACAAAAAAAAAACAATACTAACCTTCAAATATAATAACTAAAATATATTATTAAAATGAGTTTAGTTTCCTTTTCTTTAAGTATACATATCTTTAAAAGATTATTCAAAATGATTATTCTCTCATTGTTTAAATATAACGCAGAACCGAGCTTAAATTAAATAAAAGCGTGTTCCAGCTATATAGGTGGTAATGAATACATTTTCCACTTTCTAAATAATTTCTTGAAAGATGCAAATTAATTCCCACAAAACAATAGAAAGTAGAACTTGTGTTACTAACAAAAGACCATTTAGAGACCAATCTAAGTATAAATCTTCCTTATTGCACACTGGGGAATTCACCGGAAACTATCTTGAATAATTGCTAGGGAATTGTTGCTTTTATTTTAAGCAAGGCTATTAGGGAAGAAATATAAATGCGTGAATTCTCCCATCAAATGGCAATTACCTCACAGCTTTTAACTATTGTTGTAGATTTTAACTAATATCTCTATCTCGTTTGTAAATATTAAGGAACTAAATATTCTTTCATTAATAAATGAGCCATAGAGGCATGCGTAGCATACGTAAGTGCATAGAAACTCAATCAAACAGTATTGGAGGAACTGCTGTTATTAAAGTAAATCTTAAAGGATTTCGTTATTATTAAAATATCTTTGACGTAAACATACTAGTACCGGAGACAAAATTAGAACAATATTTTTCATACTCTCAAACAAAATGGGGGTTAGAAAATTTGATAATAAGATATCGTGTAGGTGACTTACTACGCAGTAATTATCTAAATTACCAATAGCACGAATCGTAGTGTTTATTCAAGGGGTATTTGATGGCTATTATTTACTGTATTTTAAGTTTTTTGTTTATATTGTTAGTACATAAAAATATTGAAATTCGTAAACATAGAAAATTTGGTAAAATTATAAAGATTTTTCTTACTTAATTTAACAATTATTTAAATAAATAACAAATAAGAGAGCCTAATCTAAGCTGTGCCTCAAAATAATAATTACTGTAAAACCATAACACACCAGTTAATTAAAAATGATATCTCATATATCTGATTATACGCCATGTTTATTCTTAATTATATTCTGTGTTCACAGATAAACAAGTCGAGTGGATGTTGCTACGAGACATTCAGCTTGCGTTCATGGAGGCTACCGAACAGCTGACCTATGTGTGCAATCTTCCAAAGAGGATGCTGTCCATACCTGTCACTGTAAGTATTTAAGACATTTTTTTTAAAGTCTTAAATGTTATTATTCCAATAAAACGTTAAAAGGTATTTTAAAAGCAATACACCTAATTCATATCGTGCGAATGACCCACCGAAAGTTTTAAATTGTTTAAGATATTATTAAAATATTTTTTCTATAGAGTCGTGTTAATTAACGCCTATATTTATTATTATAATTAAAAAAGCAAAGCTCAAAATTTTCATCTTAATTAAAATTAAGCCGAAATATTTTGATTCTGCTTTTAAAATTTTCATGCTGACGCCTTTGTGAAAAGAAAGCTTTAATTTGTAATAAATATACAATTCTATCTAAAGTTAATACTTTAGCTACCTTGGCTACTCTGTTTTTTTCATATATAAGATTACCATGTTCACAAGCACGGTACTAACACTATGGATCACGCTTTATTTAAGATGGTTAAGAAGATTCTTTAACATCTTAACACTAGCTGGTCCCCGCGGTTTCTTTCTCCTCCGATCGCTTGCTCACTACAGAGCGTGACAACTACAGAAACAGCATCGGTATTACCAACTTTTACGATCGCCAACATTTGTACTACTTGGTCGGTCCATCGTTTTAGGCTGCGTCCCTTTGGTGTCTTTCCTTTCCTTCGGTGTGAGCCTTAATTGATAAACTAGTACCTATCATGAACGGCTCGTGTTGTTTTTGAGCGTTATTTTATTGACAAGGTATTTTTAGAACTCAAATTGGTTGTCAAATATTAAGAGTCGCTAATAATTTATATTGTTTTATTTTTGAAATAATTTAATTACCATAAAACATTTATATTAAGTCAATTTAAAAAAATACTCATTTGTCGATTTAGAAGCTTTCATTCAAAATATTTGAAATATAATATTTATAATAATATTAATACAGAATTTACTTTGGCTTCAAGAGAATAAATGAATTATTAACTAAGACGATATCTTTAGCATTGTTATTTTAGTAACAAATAATATTAGTTGATTACTTTGTTGGTTTCGCGTGGGCATCAAAATATAATTGAATCGTCGGTCTGAAAAGTCTATAATGTTATAAGGTATATATCAAACTATATAAAATTCGTTTATTACTACGGTTTTTAAATAGCGACGTTGACTAGAATCAAATTTCGGAATGTAATGCATTTTGACATACTCCACTGCCTACTAAATTATGCCCTTAATACCTTACTATTATTATTAAGCCTTTAATACACCCAGTATAATATATATAAACACTTATTTAAGTTACATAACCTAACTTAATGTAAATACATCATAAGACCCGTTTTTGGTAATCAGCGTGTCCTGTGACACAAAGGCCTCTTCCAGCGGCTTCCATTCTTTTCTGATGTTAGCTCTTCTTGTCCAAGTTGTGCCTCCTATTCTCTTTTTATCGTCTGCCCATCTCTTGCTGTCTTCCTCTTTTCCTTTTTCCATCTCGTTGCCATTCTGTAATGATTTTTGACATTGAGTAAACGTTAAATATTAATGACCGGTGTTTCTGTGTGGGATATATTATGTTTTATTCATTTAAACTAAATTAGAATTATTGCTTTCCACCTGTTTCGATGTTTACACAAAAATGTAATTTATTTTTCGATTAATTTTCAGTTTCATAACCCCATTTACGGTTTGGAGGTCCCTAATTTCACAGACTTCGCCGGACCCGGTGTTATCCTTACGTAAGTAAATTTTAATTATATTTATAATTGGGGATTAAATTTACACATACAATATACATTATTAAAACGGATCTTATAAACAATTTAATGATCAAGTAATTGTTGTATTGTTAAAAAATAAATATAGCATGGTTTTAGTGAGGAAATCCTATTTATAAATTTACGTTTTGATGATATATATAAAGTGTTTATTTACCCCATCTTTGCAATTAGTTCCGCTGTTTTCGCGAATGTCAGTTTCATGAATAAATATTTTTCTTTATATAAAACTTTCCTTTCAGTAAACTAGTAAGTTACGCAAGATTTTCAAGAATATTATCATATCTGTTGGTTGTCAACTTGTTAAAGTAACAGAACTTGTCATAATGCCCTATATTAATACTATAAATAGAAAAACGTTGTATTTTTGTAACGAATACTGGATCGATTTAAAAAAAATTCAATGTTATATTATTTCTAAGTAGCGAAGGCTATATTCATTTCCATCCTATTAAAATAAATGTCCAGCGATGCGAGGCTGAGATAGGCCGCTACTTATTTAACTTTATATATAACTTTTGGAAATAAAACGTCTTAACTGATCAATATTAAGTAATCAAGTACATTTATTTAATATTAAACGGTGTTTTACTTCAGGGAAAGTAATTGCTACATAATTTGCCTATTTTTGACAATTTTCCTTGTGCTCTTAGGATAACAAGCACGGGAGAGCCATTCAGTATTTAATTATCATATTATTTCAGAATCATCTTCTTCCTGGCAGTCGCGTTGACTTCCGGTTCCATGTTGGCAGAACGGAACGACGGTATACTTGAACGATCACTTGTTTCCGGTATAACAGGTAAATTATCTTCTAATATAGAATATAATATAAAACAGGAAACTCGTGAAAATTTTGTGCATGTATTCAATAATGGTATGTTTAAAGAGAAACCTATTACTTAATTTAGTTGTAAAATCTAGCAAGCCTTCGATAGACTATCGTTGCTAATATTCTAACTTTTTTAATTAAAATTAATTTAAACTTAGCCTTTAACTCGAGTGCATACAAAACAAAACTTCTTTGTTGTTGAACATTCTCATTATTCAAAGACCTAACTTAATGAAAGCATACGCTCATACTCCTAAGTTATAATGAATTTATTATATATATACAGATCAAATTCCCAATATATTTGAGTTCTAGCAGACTTCTGAGATACCAATTGATAATTTTCTGTTTTGCAATAGTTGTTAATTGCTTAAGGCTGTATGCAAACTCGCTCGCGGCGGGTGCTTCACATTAAAAACTTTGAAGTTCTCGTAAGCTTTTTAAAGGACAGCATCGCCTGTGTTTCAGAAATTAATTGTAATAAACAAACATCATTCAAATAGATCTTAATCATAAGAAATTGCTTATTAGTATTTATAACAATCATTGTAATTGCAATAGCAATACTTATTCGTTGAGCGAGGAAAGCACTAGCTCTGGGGTCACCGATATTATCTACCAGGCGCCAAATTAAATCTTTAGTTATAAATTTTTTATCTAATATTATTATTACGTGTAAAGTTAGTTCTTAAGAGTCGCAGGCAGTTTATTAATCGTGAAAAATAATTTTCGTTTTCCTTCTGTATTGTCTGTAGCCTAGTTGATATATAGGTATCGGCTAAAAAAAGCAAAGCCTCCGTGTAGGCTCAGAATTCTAACATACGAATTAAATACTAACATATAGCGAAAAATTATTAACTGATCGATTAATTAATATTTTTTGGGTTTTGTCAACAGGTACCGAGATCCTCTTCTCACACGTCATAGTCCAAATGTTGGTGATGATATTCCAGACGGCCATGGTGCTGATTGTCGGTTTCGTCATCTTCGGTCTGACCCTCAAAGGATCTCTGGGTTGGGTTATTGTTCTGACCCTCATTAATGGCCTGTGTGGCATGACTTTTGGTAAGAATTTTATTATGCTTTGTTCAAGGAAATGTTGAATGTAATAATTACTTGCATTAAGGCTATGAGATGCTTTGTGTATATTACGCTAGCTATGTTCGAGTTGATATGGAAATATGAAAAATGTTGTTATACAGATTTTAGCGTAATAATAAATAATAATCTCCGTATGCTATATTTTATAATAAATAACTAACTGTGTAAACATTCTATTACTTCAGTAGCTAGTTATATAGGGATAAAGGAAACTTTACAGGACTATTTGCAAGAACTAATTGGCAAAGTGCGGTGTTCTATTGTTTTCATGCAAATTACATTAGCTCACGAAATGTTATAAATTTACATAACTCGAGTGCTTTTAAGCAGTTGTTACTGGCGAGACTCACTTTAAATAGTACTTCCTCGAACCAAGGAAAACTAAAGAACCAACAAATTTTTAGATAGACAAGATACTAGATTTTTCAATAGAAAGCTCCATTACTATCCCATATACTGAATTTAGGATTGGAATAAATATCTCTTGTTCAACTTTTGTACAAAACCCACTGACTCAGATGTCAATCGATTAAAAATAATATTACTCATATTTATTTATTTACTAACTTAAACTTATGTATTAAAAAATAAAACAAAAATGAATTGAACATGTCATCGTCATACTCATATCTTGTAAAATATAGACCTGATTTTCATGAAATGTTGACTGATTTTAAATCAAAATCTAACGTAAATTGTGGACAATCATAAAACAAATGCATACACTCTCGAAATTTAGGACTTCAAATAAAACTGATAACGCTTATTTGAAGTTAAAATGTTTCGGATTTTACTGTATCTGGCATCTCTAAAAACTTTACAGCATCACGTTTATATTTGTCAAATTCATGGCAAAACCAGCTTGGTGGCCTGTAAAACTCATTCTCGGTATTATTCTGATAGCAATACTAAATATTAAAGTTTTATAGTATCGAAATTATGAATTCAAAAGCATTAAGTATTCATAAGAATATTAAAAGATACATCAACCTTCAACTTTATTTATTTTTAGCGACTTTATTCTAGTGGAAAAACTGGGACACCTTTCCGGGACAGAACACTTTCAATACGACCTATTTCCACGTGAAAAAACCGAATAATAAATAAACGTAACTTAGATATATAATGTTAAAGAAAATAATATATGAATGTATTTTAAACTCGAAATATATGTTTTTTGTAAGCTTACAAAAAATACGGATGGCAATGATAATATATCCTTGTTTGCATAATTTTATTTAATGCGTATCGTATATAAATATAGCCTATGTTATTCAGGGTTAATATTTTGTTTCTCGGTCTCGAGCGACCCGTAACCGCAGGTCTTGATTGAGCTCTATTTATTGAGGCCGGGTCTTTTGGGTTGAATGCCTTGGTGAACCCATCTTAAAGGCGTGTGGAGGGGTGAGGTTGTTTTTAGTGGGTAGGGTCTCGCTATCCCTTTAAAAGCAGAGGGCGTTGCTTGTAAACCCAGCCCCACAGACCCGTGTCAAACTCGACATCCATGGCGCGGGCCTGCGTAAGCGCATTTTCACCTTATTAAAAAAAGGGCTAATATATTGCTACTACTCATGAGGTTTTTGAGTTTATACGTCAGATACAAATCTTTCCTCTTTATATATTAGAATAGATTCGCGTGCGAATTTTAACAAATTTGGTAATTTATGATTTTTGTCTTTCAGGTTTTGTAGTTTCCTGCATTTGCGATACTGAAAGAACAGCCACATATCTAGCACTCGGCTCATTCTTGCCCATGATGTTGTTATGTGGTATCATCTGGCCAGTTGAAGGTAAATTCACCATTACTACCGTCTATGTAATATATTTATCAGTTTAGATAAAAGCATTATATCATGTTCTTTAAAAGAAAAAAATTGTTATCTGTGTGTGTTTCTGTGTGTGTTTTGTTAGTAATAGATGTTATGTCTATGATCAAAATGCAGCAATTTGAGTTAAGGTTTAAAGTACTCATATAATGCCATTCACAAGCCAAAGGCGTACATATAAACTAGGACTAACACAGAAGTTTAGAATTTAAGTGCCATATGACTTCTTAAATATCTGAGTCAATAAATATCATCACCAGTCAATATCTGCGTTAATATTTTTCATTTCGATAGTAAAAGCATTTCGCAGTTCCAATGTGGTTGAAAAAAACTATTTCCAATGTGGTTGGCCAATCACAATCAAACGGAATGCGTAGTTTTTTTAACATTCGCAGCTTCCAGGTGTTATATGTTTCTAATAAATAGTATTTACACAGGTATGCATCAAATTCTTCAGTGGATAAGCTTCGTGCTACCCCTCACTAAATCGACGGAGTCCCTCCGTTCAATGTTACAACGAGGCTGGACGATTGATGTGCCTACAGTGTACACTGGTTTCGTTTCCACCACCTTATGGATAGTAATATACTTGACAGTTAGTATATTATTAATTAAATTTAAGAAGGGATAGTTTTTACTTTGTAACTGACCGAAATTTTAAACAAGCGTAATTTTCTTCCTTAGAACTTTCCTATACCTTCGATAAGGATTCGTATATTCCATGTTTTTCCTAGCTTAAAGGTATTATTAGCTTTTTTGTATAGCTACACGTATTCTATTCAAACGATGCCCGTTCGTGCTACAAAATACGCGCACGGAAGCTTTTTACATTTTCCATTATTAAATATTCCAGGTATTCTATTTTATGTATTTCGTGCTAATTGTCATCATACCTGCTACTGTAGTGGTACTATAGCTTTTGTAGCCTGTCATTATTTATACATAATTGCTTGTTTATAAAAAAAAATCGTAGTCTATGGAAGTCTTGTTATTTTGTCATGGTCAGTCAGAAAATTCATCCTTGAAGGGCTAACACCTCTAAGTACTTAATTGCTCACTTTTGACGTATCGAGTAGTTTAGTAATTATTTATTAATAAATGTACAAAATAAGTTTAGCAATAAATTTAGTATTAGTAATTATAAAATTTACCAATTTTGTGATAAAATATTTTTTGGTGAGGTTTTAATATAGTTGCCATAGTAGTTAGTTTTTAGGAATGGTGATAGTCTGTGATTTGCTTTTAAATATGACTAATGTTTTACTTGGCTATGTGCGTACAACATTTTGTAATTATATATAACTTTTTTAACTTAGTTAATAAAAATTAAACCCATAATATACATTTATTTTATCTAAAGGACACATATTATAAGTTTTATTGTTTATGTACAAACTTGCTCATTGTAATTCCTTAATATTAAATTGTAATAAAATTTTCTGCATTTTTCTTTAACACTACACGAAAAAAAAAACTAAAATAAAAAAAAATTGTTTCTTCTAATAGCTAGCCTAAGTGATAAGCCTGACCAAAACCAGAGGCGCCTTTGTAGGTCTGGGCCTCAAATTTCTGTATCTGTTTCATAATCATTTGTCAATTAAATGGCAAGTAGGTGATCAGCCTCCTGTGCCTGATACACGCTGTCTACTGTATGGGTCTAAGGCAAGCCGGTGTCCTCACGATGTTCTTCACCGTTCGAGCGAATGTTAAATGCGCACATGGAAAGAAAGTCCATTGGTGCACAGCCGGGGATCGAACCTATGACCTCAGGGATGAGAGTCGCACGCTAAAGCCACTAGGCCAACATTGCTCTTAATTATTAACTACGACTAAAACTGTACATTCATTTTCACGTCTCATATATAATTAGAATGATATCTTACTAAATGAAAACTGTATGTAAATTTCCATAGATAATTCTACATGTGTAAAAGTCCATTATAACTATTTCAATTGAAATGCTAGAACCCATTGTTATTTTGGTTTGTAAAAAGTTTAAATGAAAAGTTGCGAACAGTGAAAAATTCTCTGCAAAAATTTTAACTGGTGAGTTGGGCTAGTTTGCACTGAGACTGATTGACAGGATAGAATTAGTTTTTAAATTTCCACATATCAAAGATAAACAAATGTACGCATGTCCAAGTGTAGATGTCAAAGGTATTTCGAATATCTTTTAATAATATTCGAAAATTAAAGTAGAGAACTTTGACTTTGTTTAGCAGTAACAATTTAGTTTTTTCTTTGAAATATTAAGTATAGTATAAGATCCCGCTATACAACGACCTTCACCGAGATGCTTATTTAATGAAACTTATTTTATATTTAATTTAATATGTCAATAAATATAATCCATATGGGTTGCCTAGCAAATTTCAGTCCAGAGTATGTTTAATTAATATTAAAAAATTTTTTTTTTTTATAATTTGCATGTAGTAAATTTTTTGAACTTTTTTCAATCAATATTTTTAAACAGGGTAGTATTATATATGTATCACTATAACCTTCTTTTATACTAAAGATGTATATATACTTTAGTGTCACATAAAAAATATACACATAAATAATTAATTGATTAAAAACAACCTAACGTTTGCATATTCTATGGGCTTCATACGTTCGATTGGTATAGAATTTATCTAATAATCATACCGGTGAAATGTTTAAAAAAATATTTTTTTTTAAATTAATTAAACATACTCTGGACTGAAATTTGCTAGGCAACCCATATGGATTATATTTATTGACATATTAAATTATATATAAAATAAGTTTCATTAAATAAGCATCTCGGTGAAGGTCGTTGTATAGCGGGATCTTAGACCAGTAGTAATTGTCGATTGTTTATTGTTAAATTGCACTTATCTTTTTTTCTTTTTGTATATTACTTACTTATGTTTTCTGTTTCATAATTATTATTTATAAGTAGACAATATACAAAACATACATACAAACAGCATAACTTAGACCCAAAAAGTCGACGGCGTGCGTCAGGCACAGGAGGCTGATCACCTACTTGGCTATTAGATTAATTAATGATCATGAAACAGATACAGAAATGTGAGGCCCAGACCTGAAAAGGTTGTAGCACCACTGATTTATTTTTTAATAATTAACACGCCCGACCAAAAAATAAAAAAAAAGACATTATGCAGGTGTTTGTCTATTCTCCTTTATTATGTAAAATTATTTATGTGTAATAAAATAAAGAGCATGGTTATGATTTCTTTTTAGAAAATATAATTATAGCTTGCATATTCCTCTAAGGTCGCCCCAATTTACAGCCGTATACTGCAGCGTACGTCTCAGTAAGCCGCAGTGAACACGAGGCGGCATTGTTGTGGAAGCTTTGTTCTGCTACGCGCGCGTGTGGGTTAACAGCTACCTGAAAAGAATCGAGAAATGTATTCAGTACAGGCTCAAAATAATACATCAGATTTCTTTATTCGATACGATACAGCATTGGGCAATTTATATGTTCTGTTAAGCTGATGCCACAACCTTGGGATACATCTTAACACTATTAAAAATTACAGAGTACCAGCCACGACGAAGCATTAGCTAATCTCTCTCTTGAGTCGGTAGCTCATGTCTGACCGTCGTGGTCAGTTAGGAACTTGGAGTGGAGAATCTGTTTCCACCGATTTCTGTCCAGTGACTCTCTTGTGTACAGTTTTGAGGACGATGAGTCTTTCACTTGATCGGTCCATCTGGTCGGTGAACGGCCACGTGATCTATAGCCCTGTGTGAACCACGATCATTTACTCCAAATTCTCATCGACTCTGCGCATTGTGTGGCCGAAATATGATATAATTCGTTGTCGGCATATGGTAGATAGGCAAGTCCGTACACGGAGTTCAAGATCGATTTATTGATATCGCAGTCCCCGATATTCTTAAAATCGGATAACTAAAATTGAAAATATATATAGAATAGAATGTTCTTCTAATTCTTAATTCGTTCAAGATTAAGTAAATACACAATATGTCATGTAGAAAATAACGTTAAATCGTTAATATTCTATTAACCACATCATTATTTTATCTTATATTGAAACATAACCAATCCAAACTTTACGTGAAGGAGGTTCTTAATTGTCTCAATTAAACAAACTACATATATAGCAATAAAATAAATGTACTCTGTATAAGAATTATGGTTTGGTGGACCATTTGGGTTCACAGAGCCGAAGAAGTATTTTAAAACAGAAATAATTATTTAATAAATACGGGAGATTACAATTGGTAGCAATTTTACGAGTGTTAGCATGCGTGTAATTGAATGTTTACGTTGAAAAGGTACCTTAAACGTGTAGTCGCCTGGCTCGACACCTGTCACATCCACCCATTGGCAGTCGATATTGTACTGGTATATATCAGAACAGTTCACGGATACACCTGTAAAGTTCGCATAATGGTAAATTTAGGTTTTATATTTTAACTAGTGGACCCCACAGACGTTGTCCTGCATGATATTTAAAGCGATTAGGATATTAAGCAAAGTATGAAAGTACCGACTGCAGTGCCATCTGCCGCGTGATTTGTGAATCTAAACCATTCCCAGATCCCCTTGAACACACACAAAAATTTCATCAAATCGTCCAGTCGTTTGAAAAGTTCAGTCACATACACACGCACAGAAGAAATATATATATTAAGATTGACATATTTAAAACTTGGGTCTATAAAAGTCTTCTTTTTTATGTAAAAAAGTATCGAAAGCTTACTTTTGTTTTTGTCTCTTTTGCCATATTGTGTTTTCGCTGTGATGAAAAGAGAATAAGTACTTTAACTTTTATACGCATTATAATTTTTAGACCCGTGTCAGGCTTCCTAGCTCTTCCATAACAAAACAGAATTTTACTCACAATATTAATTATTTTTCGAAAATACAATTATAATTTTTTTATTTTATTCTCTATTATAATAATTTAATTAATTAGATACATATTCATTATTATTATTAATTAACAACGTCTTAATAAACAAATTAAATTAGTAAGGTAAAAGCAATTAAACTTAGTATTAGTGTAGTATATAAATTAATATTTATTCAAACTTTATAGAGGGTTTAATTGAAGAAGATAGAGCTGTTTTTAATTACGCTTTTATGCTATAAAATACATAGTGGATTCTGTAGAGAGTTCTAAATGTAGCATGTAGCGAAAAAAGGCTTTATTCTCAAAATGAGATAAACTGAATGTTTAGAGAACGTGAGATTCAGATCTCATGATCTCACGTTCTCCAAACAGTGTTATAGCGCTCTATATGGTTCGTATTGAAATCCTATTCATGAAATGTAACGATAACTTTATATATGTACTATAATAATGGTGATAGTAGTACAATAAAATCTCTGTGTGTACACTGTACATTAATTGTTTCCGGTAGGCACAGAATCATGCCTAAATGTATCTTTAACACAGTACTGAATTTAGGCTAAAATTGTCACGTCTCAGTTATAAAAAGTAAAACGCTTTATTATGTAATTTCCAACCGGCATTTCTATGTACCACTATAATAGGTCTTTTACCTAATTGGAGATTCTATAACACGCAGTTACAGATTTAATTTGAAATTTAAATAACTTTTATTGTGTGCTATTTTAATTTCATATTCAATTCAAGAATTACCACAATTTTGTTGTTGTATTGAGTATGGTGGGTTATGACCAGCTACGCCTCCGATATCAGTGTACCTATTAAGATACTTACGGATCGGGTGCATAATGTGTATATAATGAGACTGGGTCTACGGGTTCTGAGGCGGAAGTCCCAACTTTTGAATGGAACACGCCACACTTCAACTTGGTTAGCCAGGCGTCACTCACGAGAGCGATATACATACACATAATATCCCTATCGAGGTAGACCTATTTCTTTGTACTCTGGCTGAGTTCACGAGTTGCTTGTTATATTGGTATTTGATCTAGGTATATAATATTTTTAATGTATTTTTAATTGCAGAATTTGCGGTGTATTTATTGTGTAATTCTATTGTATTAGTATTAACTGTAAAGATATAATAATTATGTGGGAAATAAATGTTTTAAAATTTTCATACAAATCTCTAATTACCGGTAAAGACCAATAGAAATCGATGGTGTCTAACGTAACAAATAGCAACCATGTGTTATTCGAGAATATTATTATTATCTTCATTCACCTCACGATTCGTAGACACCATAGTATAGAACTCATTATGTCAACTCACCCTGATCACCATAATTTAAACAGGAATACTTCTTCTCAATACCAGGCAGGCATGTATTATCTTCCAAACAAAAGGAAGCTTTGTGTCCTTCAGCAATTCTTTGACCAAAGCTGTCTAAGACATCGAATGTTGCGAATACTTCCATACTGTGGTAATGCCTGAAAATATTGTAAAAGTTGTAAACTATATATTTATCTCTTTCTGTCAACTAATAATTGTATTGACAAATTAGGGGCGTTAAAATTGATACTGAGAAACGAGACTTAGGCAATAGGCCAAATCATTTTTTCACCAACTTTGACATATTTGATTGTGTTGACTGCTACGGTTTCCAAGAAAAACGGTGCCGTTATCTTACGGCCGTAATGTAACGTTGGGTGACGTCACCCATACGTTGTCTATAAATAACATCGGATTAGGTTTTTTAGAGAACGTTGAGTGTCACCGTAACGTCAAATAGCGGTGCTGTCATTTGCAAGATGGCCGTCATAGCGGTGATAAACAGTAGTTCATTCGTTCGTTTTTCGCGTATAGCGGTGCGCATATTTAAATAATACAATGATTTAGATGAGCGAAAATGATGAACAATTAATTGATTTTGTTAAAAATCGTGAAGCTTTGTACAATATCAAATCCAAAGAGTACAGACAAGCTCAGATGAAGGAAAATTTGTGGAACGAAATTGGAATAACACTTCAAAAATACGGTCGCACTACTTTCTAGGAAACCGTAGCTTAAGTGACTCCCGTAGATCTCGTACAACGTATTGGATTTGACATATGGAAGTCATAGTCCGGGCTAAGTTCATTTTGAAGCTTACGCTAATATACTTCGCGACAGGACTGACCAATGGAATTTCTACGAAAGCCAATGTGAGCCAATTTCTTTCATATATACAACTTTTAAAGACATCAAAAGTACGGACAAAATTAGAACTTTAAATGATATAATAAGCATAACCAGATAAATAAAACAACACTTCTTCGGAATTAAGGAAATGTTGTTCTTAATTAAGTAAAGAATAATTGTGTTCTTTCTCAATGAATTATCGAAATTATAGCAACAGCTTACAAAAACTTTAAAAAATTAAAAATTATCTGGGTGCGGTTACGACGTCAGGGCAGAATACGAAATTCCACCCGTATCACCTCGACGTCCGTCGTTCCACAACTGAGCGCTTCTTTAGGCAGTTTTTGCCGCGCACAACCATTATGTGGAACCAGCTGCCCACCGATGTATTTCCGAACCAATTCTACTTACGGTCCTTCAAGAAAAGAGCGTACCAATTCTTAAAAGGCCGGCAACGCACTCGCGAGCCCTCTGGCATTGAGAGTGTCCATGGGCGGCGGTATCACTTAACACCAGGTGAGCCTCCTGCCCGTTTGCCTCTTATTACATAAAGAAAAATTCTACTTACAAAAACTTTATTTAAATAAGAAAAAAATATCTGGGTGCGGTTACTAGTACAAAATACGTTACTTAAAGCTCCGTATTAAGCCTTTCAGAAAAAGATCTTTAGCTGACAGCATATCTTAGTCTTATAAATGAAAAGAACGCTATTCGCAACTCATAAGAAGCCTACGTCATTTACATGCATGACATATGGAAATTTTAACAATGGGTAGACGCAGCGCTTGTGATAAATTTCAGCCGGTTTTTATTTCATTAACCTTTTTTTAAGGAGGCAAACAGGCAGGAGGCTCACTTGATGATAAGACATTGCCAGAAGGCTCGCAAGTGCGTTGCCGACTTTCAAGAATTGGTACGCTCTTTACTTGAAGGACCCTAAGTTTAATGGATTTGGAAATCCTTCAGTGGGCAGCTGGTTCCATATAGCGGTGGTGCACGGCAAAAACTGCCTTAAAAAACGCTCAGTTGTGGAACGACGGACGTCGAGGTGATACGGATGGTATTTTGTATTCGCCTAGATATAATAATTCGTTATATATTAACTTTAAGTAAAGTAAATTTATCATAAAAATGATATACATGTATGTAGTATGACTATGTCATTTAGGTATAGGTGGCATGACTCTTCATTTCACACTGACAATTAACTTCCATAGATATTACAGTTACAATACACAGAGTACGATATGTTTACTTTTAGTAGTCTTTAAAAGGGTCTCATATAACCTTTGCAAAATACATTTAGTTACAAAAAACGGCTCAAATGTAAGAGTCCTTCCTCCAACTTAGATTATGTTCCCTTAAGTGTAGACTCTCAGGACGTGGGGTTAAAGTGCACAGACGCTAATTAAATATTTAAGTTGGCGTGTGGCAGATAGTTCCGGTGACCCCAGTACTGGTGCTTTCCTTGCTCAACGAATAAGTATCGCAATACAGCGAGGAAATGCTACCAGCATTAAACGTGCACTGCCACAGGGACCTAACTTTTTAAAGTTGTTTTAATTTTCTATTTACCATTTTTTAATCATTCTAATTATTTATATTTATTTAATATTAGATATTATTATTATTAATATTTAGTAAAACAATATTGTAAGTAATGTATATTTGTGCGTTGCAAATAAATTGATTAAAATAAAAAAAAAATACATTTAGTTAAATAACATAATTTATTTGACGAAATCACTTTAGTTATAGTTGGGTGTTGTGCATGGGAAACATTGTATTGCAATAATTTTAAGTCGACTTTAAGACTATAAAAAACCTAACAATAGCCATGTTAAACTTGGTATTTCTCAAGTAAAATATGAGTTTCACCGCTTTCACAAATGAACTGGACGAGGGTGAATTTCTTTGACAGTTCCCTCGGAATTAATTAAAATACTTTAGATTTGTCGTCGCTTTAATTTTGTTCTGTTTAAGTAAATCTATATGTTTTTATCTGTACAAATGACATATCACCAAAAATTAATAATATTAATTAATAAAAAGGCCGGCTACGCACCTTAGAGCCCTTTGGCAATGTGCGTGTCTATGGGCGGCGGTATTACTTACATCAGGTGAGCCTCCTGCCCGTTTGCCCCCTGTTACATTAAAAAGAAATAAAACGTTTAAAAACAAAAAATATTGCCACTTTCTGCGTGTATCACACTATAGCAATCGTTAATTTAAATATTTAAAAAAGGAATGTAGTATCTCCTAGTCTTACATATGACATAGATGCCATTGCCACAGATGCTTGGGCAGATAGGGTCGGAATTCAGCATTTCCAATATTCAGAGATGCGGCAGTGAACCGCAACAGCCTTCGTGTTTCAAATTGCCAGTTTGGATTTGTTTTTTGAATCTGGAAAGTATAAAATATTAAAGATTATTATTTATTATATATTTAGTACCGGTGACCCCAGAGCAGATGCTTTCCTCGCTCAACTGATAAGTATCGCAATACAGCGAGGAAATGCTGCCAGCGTTAAAGGTACACTGCCACAGGGACCAAACTTTTCAAATTTGTTTTAATTAATTTAATTTATTATTATGTAGGATAAAAAATTGTAAATTATTTGATTGTTATGTTTAGGTTTCAACAAACAATATAAGTCTAAACATTAAAACGATAATATAATGTGCACTTCTGTAGAATGCAAATCATTTAGTATAAAAATGTTACCTTTGTGGCTTAGGTGGTACAGGTGGCTGTTTGCTTTAATAACTAGGTTACATTATGATAACAGATAATTTCTCGTGAGTGTTTATTAAGCGGATAAAGCAAACAAAAACATTGTATGTTTATTACCCTCTGTGGAACGAACAGTGTAATTCAAAAGCCCCATAAAAACAATAATCATTTGTGGACACAGATAGCCGATCACCTACTTGCCTGTAGAATTTCGCTTACAAAAATATCTATAGTTCTTTGTAGTTTTTTCGATGTTTTGTTCGGTACATTTGGACTGCGGTTTGCAAGGTTTTTTTGGCCACACTTTGAAGAACTCGAAATTTCGAGAGAGTATTTGTATATAAATTATATATTATGTTCGTGTTATGAAGAAAGTCTATATAAATGTGTATTTATTGTGTTTAAATGTTGAAGGAAATATACCAAACTTATATTGGGTATTAATCTGCAAACCACGTATTTTAAACATTCCAATTTAAAAAACAAATCATCTAACGAACCCTTACTAAGACATCACGATTCATAGCGATTTCATTTTTATTTCCTTTCATTAAAAGCTATATTCCATTGTAACTTCAATAGGCATGTCCAGATTTATCAACATGATTGATGTTTGCTGAATAAAACGTTTATTTATTTTGAAAATTGTACGAATGTTTGATGAGTTAATTTAGTTTTAAACCGAATATAAATAGGATTTATCTGTGTTGATATTTTTATTCCGTAAACCTATTTAATAACACACGAGAATAAAAAGGTACTTATGTGATGGTGGATGGTTAATTATTATTATTTATTAGGCCGAAAACAATAAAATTTGACTAACGATATTGGTACTCTAATAGGGATAGCGATCTTGACCGTGGTGTAGTTCTTTCAATATCCGTGTTCGGTTGGAATCGCGTGGTACAAAAAGTCAACATCGATTCAAAATTACTAAATAAGCTGATCTGCTTCTGCTTTTTCAATCTCTTCTAAAAATATGGTTTTAATTGCGGTAGAATTTATATATTCCCATGCTTCATACCAAACTTTTATAAATAACCCGATAATAAATATATAAATAAAATAAATAAAGCAGTGGCATTAAAACCTTTTTAGTCTGGGCCTCAGATTTCTGAATCTGTTCCATGATCATTTGTTAATCTAATAGGCAAGTAGGAGATCAGCCTCCCGTGCCTGAGATACGGACATTTTGGGTGTAAGGCAAGCCCGTTTCCTTACGATATTTCCCTGCACAGTTCGAGCGAATGTTAAATGCGCACATGGAAAGAAAGTCCATTGGTAAGCCGGGGATGGAACCTACGACCTCAGGGATGAGACTCGCACGCTGATGCCACCAGACCAACACTGCTCCAATAATAAATATGTAGGAGATAAAAATCTTTAGTGTGGGTTGTCTTTGAGAAATAGGTAGTATTGTAGATCTCATTAAGATAATATGCAATTTAACACATTAATAGCCAGCGATAACAATATAAGCGCACAATCTTTGAACAAATCTAGAAATTTTACTTTAATGTTCTTTTATTACGAGGATAGCTAAGTATGAGAAAATGTTATGATCGAGTCAATGATAGGAAATTTATGAGTTAATCTAAATTAAATACTGTACGATAATTATTCGTGTCTTTTGTGCTCGCACTTTACCCACACGATAAACCCGATAAGGAAGATGTCAATATCGATGAAGAATATTTCTCCGATATTTAAATACAAATGTTTCAATACATAAAGATAAAAAAGTTAAAGCTGTTTTCCGTGGTTTAAATGATTTACGGACCAACGGTTGAATAGAAGTCCCCATCCCTATCAAACAATTTCTTTACGCAAATTATTCAACAAATATAATAGTGTTTATCAATGAAAATGTCTATTCACTTTGAGCATTCGGATATTAGTATTTCCGACGTGTTGCGATTCCGATAGTTATCTGCATAGTAGTCACTGTAGCTAAGTCACATAGGAAATGTGTAGGTTTCTATTCCCAAGGAAGTAAAAGGTGCAAACGTTATGTTAACATTTGCACCTTTTTATATCAAATTTTAGTTCATTTTAAAGTGTGAATAATTAGCATTATACAATATCATTACATACGGATTTATTAATGATTTTTAGGTGAAAGTGGTAACAAAAATACTTTCCAAAAATACATATTGAAACTATTCTTTCATTAGGTTTCTTGGCACTAAAGAGAGTGGCAAAGGGTGTAATTTTATTGAATTTTTGAAAATGCTGAATTTTTAGAAAATTTAAAGATTTTTACCAAACATATTTTTTTGAACCACCACAACGTCTTCTATCCGCAGGTATAATTTTACGCATTAATTACGCTACACCCTGTAGGTACGTAATAGTTGATTAATTATTGTAATCATCCATTATATTTTCTCAACTTAATCTAGTCTCAGTGCTTGTACATACGTATCGAACATACGTATACGTATCTAAAGAATAATCCAATTTAGCGAAATAATAGTATCCCAGACTAGCTGATGACTGATTTAAGAAAGCATTGAAAGCCCTTTTAAATAATTTAATTTTTAAATGCCTTTAACAATGTATGGCTACGACATAACGCATAAAATACGCTTCGATTACGATCCAAAGGCGTTAAAATTATGGAACATACGTTATATATACCCTCATGCAGTTAAATTTAGTCGAAGTAATAAGTAACTTACCTCATAAGCGGATTTACTCAAACAGTTTTCTTCCATAGCACATTGCAGTTGGAACATAGGTGCGTCCTGCAAGTGTGCAGAACTTTCTATTGCGCTTGTATCAAGTAGTAAGTCAGCTAAATAGTGACTGCATATAACTGCTGCTACGTGTCCTGAAACATAATTAATATATATATATATGTCGCAGCCAAATAGCTAAATTAATTAATTAATTTAACTAGCGGCCTGAAAGATATTTAACCAGTTGGTCAAACAGCTAGGCAGATGACTTGTATCGATGACGTTTCATTACTTGCCTAGACTGTATTTAGTTCCACTTTCTGCCACCTAGCGTCCAGTGTCGAAACTCATCAAACCGTCAATATAGCGTCCGCAAACCACAACTTTAAGCACAACAAAGTACAAGAGGGGGGGGGGGAAAAAAATTGAACGGCTAATTAAGATATAGCTACATACTTATATATTCTTCAAATTAATCTTAAAGACATTTTAACACAGAATAAGCAATATTTGAAGTAAAAACTGTTTTTGTAAATATGTGAATATCTTAAGTGATCGAAAAATAATTTTATATAGTACTTTAAAGAGATTACTTATTAGCAGCAATAAGATTACCAAATGGCTGTTAGTATTTGTTATTCTTAACAAGTGCAAATAAGTTAAAAGTGTAAAATAAATTATTACGTATAATTTTTTTTTGGGTTCAATCTAATCTGCTACTGTTGTTATATTCACGCTTTAGTGAAGTATATTTATATAGGTGGCCACTTTTGGTATTTCTTTGCCTACGGAACTTCAGGCCTCATCGGTAATCCGAAAAAAATTTAGTAACGTTTGCAATTTGTTGTGAAAACATATAAAGTTGTCACAACGATGTTCACAACAGGCAAGGTTTTAAATTGACATAATTTTAGTGTATGACGACAAAAGATAATATGTACATATAATAAAAATGTTAATGTACAAGGAAGTCCAAAAGATTTGCCGTATTACATTATTCATCCTGTGAATATTGCGAATGAAATATTATCCTAATATGAAGTAAATTTTAAGGAAAAAGCGAATTTCTTGGACGAAAATTTTCTTTTAATTTAATTTGGGTTTGAGCACAGTTCTTAAGAAGGCAGGGCTTTATATTTACGTAGTATAAGTGTAATAATGTGCTCTCCATGATAAAAGATTGTAAATAAAGAAAATGTAAGAACATTAGTATGTTTATAAATATCACGTTTAGTTAGTACGTTTCGTACATACGTTACGTTGCAAGCAGCATTGTTCTGATCTTTTACTTTTGATATCCGAGTTTGAAATTTGCGCATACCCTGCCCCCGAGAGTTGCAGGTGTATATGACACTCGAAACACACCAGAATCTCAGATAATCCGAGACTGGGTGAGTAATACCCACTAAAACGACCTCGAGTAGATCCGCACATATCCCATAGGTACAAAGCAACCGATTTATGGGAGAACACTTGAGTTGCTCACCAAGACTTTAGTAGATAGTAGGCCTGGCCTATTCAGGCCTGTAGTAGGATAGGCATCAAGTCCATTATTACCTTTCTCACCGGGACACATGACATTCCCAAATTCTCGATGCTTACAAGAGAACAAATTTGTTTCATTTCCCTCACATTGCACACCACTTAGTATAATTCTAGAGCTGCCAAAGTAATCTGTCTGTAGAGCTTGTTCAGCATAACCCAGGGCCAGGTGGTGGCAGATAGCTGAAGCTTCATACAGCGTCCAGCCATCAGGGCATATGCTGCCCCAAACATTGTTGTAATAGACCTAAAATGACGTACTTTAAATATTTCACTTATTAATTTATAAAATATTTTTGAGGTAATTTTTCCTATTTGATATAAATTACGATATTATAACGATTTTTAAGAATTCTGTCCAGAAGTTCGGTTTCTGCAGCCAAAGATCTCCCTGAGACGTAAATTTTAAACGAATATTTCATGAGCACAAAGAAGTCCATTGGTGCACAACCGAAGATTGAACTTACGACCTCAGGGATGAGAGTTCCAAACTGAAGCCCATAGACCAACACATTATAATATAAATCTTGTTACGTTTTTGTGTATGGGAAGTGACCTTAAAGTCACAATTTAGCTCGCATTGTTACGGTACCAGATCGTAATCTATGGTATAATAATATGTATGGTATATATACACTTGCCTCCACTCTTCCTTCAAAGCTGTTCCTGCCTCCGACCAGTCTTAAGCTGGCACCTCTTATATCCACTACTTCATGCAAGTATCTCGTTTGAATTTCTTCCGCTCTAATTTCCTCTTCATAGCATATTACTCCAGCTGCTTCGCTTCTGTCGCAGTCTGATGAACCCCAGCCAGAAAAAATACAATGGTTTAAAGCTGTCTCAGTACCTTCGCAGACCACATCGTCCATCCAGAATTTTTCTGTGAAAAAGGTAAACTAGTCTATTTTGTTATCTATTTTATGTCAACTGACAGTAGCGCCACTACTGCGATAAATGTAATAACTTATCACTTAAAAGTGTCACTTAAATCTTAGTTAACTGACTATTTAGGGGCTCGACAGTCAATAAGAGACAATTAACGTGATATGTTCTTGGGCGTTAATTAAAAAATAAATATTTTGTACTTGTCATTGTGCCAATGTTAGTATATTTTTTGTTTAAGAATCTGATACAAACAATTTGTTTGCCTAAAATATTAAAATCATAGCGTCCTTGGCATTGTTAATTGTCTCTTAAATTAATAAATAAGCTACCCAAAGCTTCTCCATATTGTCCACCATGAGTAGCTACACCAGTTCTATTAAATGCCCGACACACTACTGTGGCCGCTGCGTTGTCCCAGGAATCATCACATACGGCTCCCCAACGTCCAGCGTGGTGGATGTAAACATTTCCTGTGAAAAATTAGTTAGGTATATATAATTTCACAACTAATTTAATAAATTAGGTAGGTAGGTTCTAGTTTAATAAATTAATCAAGTCTACCTAAAGGTGCAAGAAAAACCTACTCATCGTAAGAACTTCATATTTAATACATTAAAATAATACTTAATAGGTCAAAAATACCTATATTATTACTAATACTATAGTACTACGAATTTTCAAAGTTCTCGTGCCTGATTAATTTGAGTCTGCGACAGATTACTATCTCAGAAATTTGAGCCAAACGCTCACGGTAATATTAGGAACATATAAAAATCTAATTTTTCAAGTTAAAAGTTAGATACAAAAAATGTTATACCATGTCTTCGACACTCTCATAAAAATATCATGGAAACGAGAGCCTTTATTTCAATAAAGAATATGATCAACTTTAAGAACCTCTTTAGAAAATTTCTTCTGGACCCAACATCATTCTGTAATTGTTAGGGTTATAATCAAATAAAAAGGAAGTGGCTGAGGCACCTTAATAGCGTACATTTAGTTGACGTGACCAAACTTGACTATTTTCAGAAACTGTTAATGTGCCCAAATGAGGTTTTTTACATCTAACCTTTTACAAGTGCCTGAATAGGTATGGATCATTTACAAAGTAAGCTTTATTTTACGGTAACAAAATTTAATGTAATATGAACAAAGTCTTATGCTAAACATTACCTTCAAAGTTACTCTCTCCTCCCAATAACTTAACTTTTCCCTCCATCCGTTTTTGTTTATTTAATAATTTCTGTATGAATGCAGCTCTTGTGCTTCTTTCATCTTCACTTAAATCTCTACATAGTGCACTCACTAATATAAGTGTAAAAGTAAATACATAGTTATGCAATCTCATTTTAACGTCTACACAATGGAATCGCACTGGTGCCAGTAGGATACCTTGTGAGATACCAAATAAAAACTGTTTCTATAAAAGCTTTATAAGGTCAATGAAAATGCAGCTGGTATTCCAAATACCAAAAACTGAAACGCGGACTTATAATCGAATAGACATCAAATATTTAAACGTTATTATACGAAGTCTTCCATACAACTGAATGATCGTAGAATGAATTAAATTGTATCTCACTTTGTAGTTCAATGTCAAATGGGTCTTTGAGTTCGTTGGTCAATTTACATAGGTTTGGCGTAACTACTTTAAACTACATCTAGTATGCCTTACAGACATTATTACAGTGTAATAAAAAACTTTACAGTCCCGAGATACTGAGCCATGGTAACTGTGAATTGTGAAATAAATTATAGAAAACTTACTATATATATAGATAATATCAACAAATAAGACCTAAGTAACAGGAGCATCCTAATTGAAATACTTTATAATTCTCGTAACAAGATTTGCTATCTATGCACTTTTGCTATCTTATAGGTAGTATAACTTTACCAAAAAAAAAACATTCGGACGGCAATCAATACTCTTCTGGAACTCGTACTCGTAAATAACGCGATATTTCATGTTTTCCATTTTATAAATAGATTGATGCAAAGAAAAAAAAATAAGAATGTGAAAATGAAATCAATCATGGTTTTCGAAAAACAAATGTACGAGTAAATAATATACCAAAGAGGAGATATTTGAGGTCAAAGTGGCCAGTACGACAAAAGGTTAATTTCATATGTAAGGACCTAATATTAATGTATTTATGTTAATACATTTTTATCCTACGCATCACCACGCGCCAAAATAGTAGTTTATTTGTATGATTCGAATGCAAACCTTGAGATACAAGATATATTTCAAGTGGTTAACCACATATATACTCATGTTACGACTAAAAAAGAAGTGATACTATTAACAATTGACGATCACAATTCTATTTGACCCAAATTGGCAATTGAAATGGTGGCGCTAATAAGAATACTTGCAAATGATTTGGTAACACAAATAGACTGTATGAATGGATATTTCTTGATGATGTTTTCCTTAACTATAATTCTGTGTCTTACGATCACAGCGTGAATACAATTCGAATGTTTTTTTTAAGTTTTATTAATAGAGTTCTTTAGCCTGCCCGTGATTGATTGAACTATGTTATTAATGAATATATGAAATACAAAAAAAAAAGCTAGCATGACGCTACAACCCTTGGATTCATGGCCTAGAATTTCTGTGTCTGTTTCGTCATCATTTGTTTTTTATTCTTTCTTTGCGTTTAAAGGCATGCACGTTTCGTTGCGATGTTTTATTTCACCTTACGAGCGACTGTTCAATGCGTACATAGATAAAAAGTCCATAGGTGCACAGCCGGCGTTCAAATCTACTACCTCAGGAAAAAGCTTTAATACATAGCTTGTCGCATCGCTCCTAATTGTAGCGATGCAATATTTAAATTGTAGTGTTTATTAAATTGTCACTGAATTTATTTGTAAAAAAACGTAGATACATAGAATACTATGAAAATGCAAAAACTGTATATTTTACCAATAAGAGCTCTATTAATACCAATAATGAGACTACTGTGATAAGGATGAAACATTCAATTCAGAGGTTCATAGTAGGAATGAATAGGCTTTAACCTATTTATCATACATATTATTTAAGTTGAGTAATAAAAAGAAAGCGGTCTCAAAGGCGACGTGACCCGACTAAAATTTCCGAAAAACTAATTCACTGTGCAAATTGATCATGAAACTTATTTATTCTTGTACTTTTTAGATGAATATTAATTTCTGAAGATAATCAATAATATCAAAATATGAATAGCCTGGGAATGTCCGGTATTTGGACGCCATTTCTGAAGTTCTTTGTGGCGAAGTGTAAGCCAATGCTTATTATTTAATTATCAAGCACGTATAAATATATATTATTATCATACAAATACGTTTTTTTAATAACAAATTACGAAAGAAAATGTAAATAAGTGTCGCAAATGTTACTGTTTCCGAGTCGCGATCATTTAAACAAACTTCAAATAATTACAACTTATATAATCTGTGGCCGCGCTTTGGCGCCATTTATGAGTTTTATTATATTGACCTTTTTTATTAGGTTCAATCCCGTTTGTAAAATTGTATAAGAAACTTTGATACTGTAGACTACTGTACATTAATACATTGCATTGAGCTGACATTATTCAATATTAGCATTTATTATCTGGATAACCTTATATGGGATTATATCGCAACTTAGCAGAAAAATGGCCACGACAAGTAACTTGGCAGCTTAGCAAAAAGAAACTATAACACATAAATTGTAGGTACCAAAGGGGTTTAAATGAGATTCTTAAAAGTTGGTTAAAATTATGTATTTAGGTAACTAAATTACCTACGAATTTTAATCCTTCTAAAAACGTCAAAAAGGTAATTTTAAATGCTACTTAGATTACAGCGTGGGCGGAAAGTATGAGATATAGATCCTCAAAATTAATCAACTCACAATATCCATTTTATTGACAATATATTTTTGAAAATTTACTTTATGTTCACAAAAACAGAACCGGATTTTGTCAAATTGTCTGATCTTCACTCCCGAAATACTAGGAACAAAAATAATTTAACAGTTCATGCTACTCGCCTTCATAGAATAAGCAACTCGTTCATGGGTCAATGTATACGCTTTTACAATAAACTTCCTATGGATGTTCGTAAACTTCCCTTAAGAAATTTAAATTTTTTATTAAATCAAAATTATTAACTAAAGGATATTACAGGATATCCGATTATTTAAATGATAGAAACGCCTGGGATTGACTGCTCGCTTATACAGCTATCGCTTGTGTTTTTTTAAGCTGTCTTTCACTTCTTTTTTTCTTTTTTTTGCATGTTGTACATATTTACAATCTGAATGTCTTGTGCTTTTGCATATGCATTTTATTTTATTCTATTACATGTTTGTGTTAGTGCATATCATTTTTTAATTTTTCTCTAATTATAATGTTTGTGTAGATATTCATTTTTCTTTTTCTACAATATGAATGTTTTGTGCTTTTGATACAATATTTTGATTTGAAGCCAAGTGAATAATGTTTATATTAGATATATTTTTCAATTAATATTTTTCCTGCTTTAAGGTACACCTTAAATATACATTTTGTATCATTGTAAGTGTAAACATTATGGGGTATATCATAAACTCTTTTTTTGATTTATAATTGATACATTTTAGTCTATATTATTGGGTGGCGATTGAGTGAGTTGTTGCCCACATATCTTTATGGTGCCTCTGGGGTATTGTTGTGACGGGTTGGAGTTAAAAAGGGAGGAGAGCTATGGGGATGAGGTTGTGGGCAGGTTGTAGATGTGGTTCTTTCTTCCAAAGACCATCAGTAAATTACTCTGATTTGTTTACACAACTTATTAATTATGTAATCTGACTAAAAAGAGACTAAGACGATGCGAATTTCTAGGATATTAGGAAATGTCGACTTCATTAGTTTAGGAAGACATTGTAAAAGTGATAAAGTCTATGAAGAATAAACTATTTCATTTCAACTATCATTTCATTTCAATTTCATTATTGTCATTGAATCACGATAATATTGAATCTTCGTAATATTTCTTAAGGGTTCACGGTGTACACATCAGTATTGGAAAGGGGACTTGTTCAAATACTATATTTTCATAGGTTCATTTTAAACGGCTAATAGAAATATATGATAATATGTTTAATTTAGTGGTCTTGAATATTTTTTTTCCAAGCTCCCTTAAGAGTCCGCGAGCAGAGAAAATAATATACAGTGTAAACTCTTTATAAAGAATTTTAAGGGATCGAATATTTTTATTCGTTATAGAGAGGTTTTATTATAGGGACGGAAGAATGAATGTATGGGTATTGGGTTAAACCAAAGAAATTTAACTAATTTTTCGTTATAACGAATGACGTTATAAAGACTTTACACTGTACTTAGATATCTCTAAAAAACTCAAATAATAATATTTTTTTTTAATGGAATCTCACTGTTGGCCTGAAGGGTCTTTACAGCTCAGGTCGGGCTGTTTTGGCGAGCGTAGCTCGGACGGGATGGGGTCGTATTCCTGCGAGACTCGGACCTCGGCATGGGACGTCGCGGGGTGAAGTGAAGCTCACTGGAGAACGAAGTAAAAGTCCACACCTATGCCGGTGAAGGCAGTTTTCTGCCAGTGATCTGATTTCAAATAATCAAATAAATAGTCACCACTATGTACAATATCTAAGTAAAACAATACCTCGTTTCCAGATGCAACAACTGCCATCTATTGATCAGCATTATAATCAACTAATTGACAGTCATATACAGATGTAGACGATAAACAGGTATGTTTATCTATTTTTAATTATTATGTAAATTACGATTGTAACATAGGTAAATTATAATGTTAAAATGTTTTGATTATATTATAAAAATCAAAAGAAATTGCAATCACATTATCTTTAGCATCTTAAATCTGTTCGATAAAAACAATACCATTTACTATTTTGGTAATAAAGTTAATAAAATTGTAGCAAGATTTTTTACAAATTTGCGTTAATACTTGGTCACCCTTATCTACATTTTAGCATTAATCGCCACTTTATTATTTCAGAGGAATTTCATTTCTATCCGGAATTATTCACGCATAATCTTACTGGAGATTTTCATAATAAAGAAAATAGATTTTCCGAAGTATAATGCTTATCATGATATAAACCACCATGATATCTGTACCACCTTGAGATTCGTCAGATGTTAAAAATTAAGGGATTTAACTATATTTGTAAAGAAATTAAAGTCTGTAAAAATAATTTAACCTAACTGTTTCAAATGTATATTTGTTCTATATAGAAAACAAATTAAAGAATAAGAGAGCAAACGAGCTTATGGGACGGCCAAAAAGGCGTCGCAGCCCATTTTTAGTGGGTGCGTTGCCGACTTTTGA